TAAACATATGCGCCCTTGTTCCCCGACCTCTCTCGCCACACCAAGCCTTGCAGCCACCACCGACCTTGCTCCGCTCTCAACCGCAACAAGATCTTGTGCTTTTGAGCATTCCACTCTACCCTCGAAGCACTACCAAACATGATTGCAGGACGGGGCAGGCAGCGTATAAGGCCCCCACGAAGGGTAAGTTTTGCGCATTCGCCCTTGCCGCCCCACACTGACCGTGTCACGCTCATAGGGTCTACATGGCGACGAGATTGATTTCGAGAACACATGGAGCACCATCGAGGCTGCCTTTCGCGAAATACACACAAAAAACGCATCTAAGCTGTCATACGAAGAGTTGTACCGCCACGCTTACCGTATCGTCCTGAAGAAGAAGGGCGAAAATCTGTACAACAAGGTCCACGAGTTCGAGAGCAACTGGCTGAGGACCGAAGTCCGCAGCACTATCCAGCAACTAATATCCCCGAACCTCCTTGTAAATCCGCAAAGTATAGGCGGAACCACGCCCAACGAGCGACGTGTCGCTGGCGAAAAGTTCCTAAAGGGACTGCGGCAGGCATGGAGTGACCACCAAATCTGCACAAGCATGCTGGCAGACGTGCTCATGTATATGGTGAGGCTGGACCCTCTCCATATCATGCAAAGAGGCAACACAAGCTAACACATGTGACAAAGGATCGTGTCTATTGTGCCGACCACCGCCGACCTTCCATTTACAACGCTGCCATGGTTCTGTTTCGCGACGAGATCCTGAATTCACCAGTATCTCCAACCGACGCTCGCACTATTCTTGGCCTGCTAAGCTACATAATTCTCGACCAGATCCAGATGGAGCGCGATGGCGACGTCATTGACAAGCAACTTATCAAATCCTGTGTGTGGATGTTAGAAGGCTTGCATGAGGCTGACGTAGAATCCGAAGAACAACGGTTATACAACACTTCCTTTGAGAAGGAGTACTTGGAGACAAGCAGCAATTTTTACCGAGGCGAATCCGAACTGTTGTTACGTGACTGCCATGCGGGTGCATATTGCAAACATGCGCGACGTAGAATTTACGAGGAAGACGAGCGCTGTAAACAGACATTGCTAGATAGTACTGGACCCAAGATTCAGAAGGTAGTGGAGGACGAGTTGATCAAGAACCGCATACACGAGCTTGTTGAAATGGAGAGCGGCGTGCGCTTCATGATTGACAATCATAGGCTTGAAGAGCTAAATCTCATCTACGACCTCAACAGGCGTGTAGACGACAAGAAGATGGAAATCACTCGCGCCATCCAGCAGCGTATCGTGGATATGGGCTCGGATATCAACAAGGATGCAATTGCCGCGTCGCAGGCGCCTGCCGTTATGCCCGTCGCCGACCCTGCTGACAAGGCCAAGGGCCCTGTACAAGAAAAGAGTCTGAATCAGCAGACAGTCGCTGCGATCAAGTGGGTTGAAGATGTCCTTGCACTCAAAGACAGGTTCGACAAAATCTGGCGAGAGTCTTTTGAGTCCGATCCATTGTTACAGCAGGCGCAAACGCAGAGTTTCACCGACTTCATCAACTCTCCAACCTTCCCACGCTCATCAGAATATATCTCCCTCTTCATAGATGAGAACATGAAAAAGGGTATTAAGGGCAAGACCGAGTCTGAGATCGATGCGGTTCTGGAAAAGGCCATTATACTACTGCGATATGTTCAAGATAAGGATCTCTTCGAGCGCTACTACAAGAAGCATCTATGCCGACGATTGTTGATGAACAAGTCGATCAGCAATGAAGTTGAAAAGCAGATGATTTCAAAGATGAAGATAGAGCTCGGCAACAACTTTACACTGAAGCTAGAGGCCATGTTCAAGGACATGACCATTTCCGAAGAGCTAACCGCTGGCTTCAAGAAACATGTTGAAGGGTTGGGCGACAAGGACCCAAAGCGAATCGAGCTATCCATCAACGTGCTCACAAGTATGACATGGCCTCTCGAAACGATGGGTGGCGCAGCTGCCGATGAAGAAGATCAACGCCCACGGTGCAATTACCCTGGAGTTGTTGACAAACTCAAGCGTGGATTTGAGAAGTTTTATAGCCAGAAGCACTCTGGTCGACAACTCACCTGGCTAGCCAACATGGGTTCGGCGGACATCAAGGCTGTTTTCCCCAAAGTACCACAAAAGGACGGCTCGTTCAAGGAGCGCCGTCACGAGCTCAATGTGTCAACATACGGCATGGTTATCCTGCTCTTGTTCAACGATCTCGCACCAAACCAACACATCACTTTTGAGGAGATCCAAGCGCGAACCAACATACCACCTAGTGACTTGATCAGAAACCTTCAGTCGCTTGCTGTAGCGCCAAAGACGCGCATTCTAGTAAAGGAGCCCATGTCCAAGGATGTGAAGCCTACCGATCGCTTCTTCTTCAACGAAGGTTTTCAAGGCAAGTTCGTCAAGATCAAAGTTGGCGTCGTTAGTGGAGGAAACAAGGTTGAGAGTGATCGTGAGCGACGAGAAACAGAAAAGAAGAATGATGATTCGCGAGGCTTCTGTATCGAGGCTGCTGTTGTGCGAATCATGAAGTACGTACTTCGTGGTGCCATTTATTGTATCGTATGCTAACCAGCTTTCTTAGACAACGCAAAGAGCTATCGCATCAACAACTCATGTCAGAGACGCTCAGTCAACTCGTTGGGCAGTTCAAACCTGAGGTCAACATGGTCAAGAAGCGTATTGAGTCGCTTATTGAGCGGGAATACCTTGAGCGCATAGAAGGCGCCCAAGTTGATTCGTATAGGTATCTGGCGTAAGAGCTTCGCCTGGCCGCATTGGCTTTTCACTTGTCATTCACGGAGTTTTTTTTTCTGGCGAGCATCGATTTGGCACTGGGAAGGATCAGCATTGCAGAACGCATAGCATAGGCGTCAAAGGCATGACGATGATGAGCATTATCAGAGGACTATCTGTGGATGCTCTTTCTGAGACGATAAGCATTAAGTAGTTATTAATCATGAAGTCATACGATTCTCGGCTCATTGATCAATGATTTTTTTTATGTTTAGAACTCTGCTTCATCTTCTGTCAACTGTGAACAAAGCTGCCCAGAAGCGGATGGATATGTTGCTTGCAAGTTTGAAGTCACGTATAACACAGATTGGTCATGGTATTTACTGATTGGCAAGTATCATTTAGTTAGAATATTACAAGACTGGCAGTTCTTCATCTTGATCTTCGAGTGCCACCCTATAGTCTTACCTATATCTTCCAACAATCTTCCTCCTCTTCTCAAACGCGTCCCCGGCAGCGGATCCCGAGCCTCTTGGACCATCACCCACAGGCCTCTTCCTACTCCTCTCCAAGCTTCCCAGATTACCCCCCTTCTTCTGCGTAAGTCGTTCAATACGGTCAATGCCCGCGCCCAAACTCCTCCATTCCTCACCTCCAAAACCACCATCGCGCTGCTGCCGTGCCTTTTTCCTAGCAGCCTCCTTTTTGCTCTCTGGAGCCAAGCGAGTAAAGTTTGCTTCTTCGTATTCACGTCTTTCATTCTCTTCGCGGCGCTCACGCTCGGATTTGGTGTGCCGGCCACCCTGTGTAATGGTAGAACCAATACTGGGCTCAGCAATGGGGGCAGTAGAGAGTTCGGTCGCAATGAATTCATCCAGAGTAGCTGATTTTCCTGGACGGCGCTCTCGTCGTGCTTCGCGACCTTCTGGAGTCGGCATGGCCATGGGTGTGATCTTAGGAGGCCGGTAGATGCCGTCTTTTGCAGATTCACGTGCGCGTTTCTGACTGGCTTCCGTCTTTTGGCGTGTGACTTGGGCACGTCGGGGGCCATATGCCATTTCGTCTTCGTCTTCTTCCGTCTGTGCGGACCCAGCTGATTCGGCATCGCTCACATCTGAATCGGATCCCGTGTCTGTCTTCATTTTCTTGGGTCTTGAAGCCAAACTTGTAGGAGCCTGGGTAGTGCGACGAGTGGCATCATCTGCTGTCCTCAAAATCTTATCGATTTGGTATTTCAGACGGCTTTCGAGGGGGCGAACGCCCTTTTCCAGGTAGATCCTCAGTTCAACAAGCTTTTGAACGACTTCATCCTGGGGGTGGAGATCTGCCTCTTTCTGGTTGCTTTTTCGTGACCTCAGTTTTAGGAGAATAAGGAAAACCAAGTTTTGCAGGTAGCTCAGAAGCAATTCGTTCTTTACGTCCAGTAGAGAGATTCCTTCCTTTGGAGGCACTATATCGTCGTTGGGTAGCGCTTCGGTAGCAGATTGAATAGATGTTGTGAGAGTCGCGAGGAGCGACTCGAGCGAGTTGTCGACAGCCATGATGTTGGAGATGCAGTCGTGGTTGTGTTTTGTCGCGCGCAGACACCCAAGTTGCAAAGAAATTTTAGTGGGTCCGGCTACGCTAACGCACGAGCCGGGTAGGGTCAAGTCTGCACCAATCACCTTGTCTTCAAGTCAAAACATTGTCGAGAAGTAGCATCTCTGCGCTTTCGAGAGCGTTTGGTAACTTTCTTCCTCTTGAGTCAACCTGTCATGTGATTCATGATATCTCTCGTGGAACTCGAGTTTCGCGACTTCATGATTCGTTATGTTACTAACTGTCTTGAGCAACCCGAGAACCTGATTGGTGCCAATCCATCTGCTTTCGCTTTCGAAATCAACCCAGCCAATAGATTGTCAGACGATCATGAGCATTCTCTCAGGACCATTTTCGGTATGATTAGAAAGGGAACAGGGTAAGTTACTTGTCAAAGCGTATGCGTGTTTCAGATAATACGCTACGAGCAAGCTGCGGCCGGCATTTACTTTGCCGGCAGGTACGGTCCAGCTCACGTGACGAATCGTTTGTAGCTTATTGTACTACAGAGATAATGAACCCCTTAAAGAGGCGGGACGTTGAGAAACTCTTAATATTACGGATCGCTATGGACGATAATACTCCAAACTTAAGGACAGGGTATAATTGTGTACCTAGCAATACGAACTGATCTAGATTTGATGAGCTCATAAGTCACCTGGAGACCGTATATAGCCCGAGGGAAGATCGGAGATTGAGAGAATCTTATTCGTACGAACGCAAGATGACAACCATGGAGGATTCAACAATCTTGAAACAAATTTTATCATGACGCGTGGATACATGGCGAGCAGATAGACTGGGGAAGAGCGTATCCGGCTGACACGATTGTATTCTGTAAGAGGGATTTGCTTGGCTGGGAGCGGGCCAAAAACATACTTATCCCGAGCGCTCGATGGCGATTGTACATCGTCGGTGAAATTTATACTTCACGGCTAGGGGCCTTCCATGCTGCTTCTGGAACTTCTCCATGACCCACATCCGCGTGTTCGGGTCTGCGATGACGTCTAGTCGTGAACCACCAGACCATAATACCATGATGGTATGAGAAAACACAAATCCGTCTCTTGATGATGCTTTGCTTGCGAGACTTCAAGTACCCAATAGTGGTGGTGGTGGCGGCACGAGCTCCCGTCTACCCGATTGTGGCGTCGTCTTAATCCGAACATCACCAATGGTAACGCAAGCACTCAAGCGCCAGACAAGGCCTCTTCAGCAGATACGGGTTAGAGTTTGGCATCGTCATGTCCCGTGAGTTGCAGAAGCTGGTCTTCAATACCTGGAGTTTGACTAGCTTAAGCTTCGAATCCTAGTGGCATAGTACTACTATCTATACGGCATTTAGCGACGATTGCTACTGCGGATGCCTCGGCACATAACTAAGTGCAATCTCATTTTGCGATAATCTGTTACTTGTGGCTATCTTGCCTCCTGATCATGGGCATTGTGTGGACACGATAGTTATGGATTTGCACAAAATGTACGGGTTGGTGGTACATACATAGGTACATCCATTAAGGCCATCGGTGAAGGCTGCGCAGCATTAGTCCGGCTAAGTCCCAGTGCCTATCAGCTAAAGAACATGAGCCAATGGTGACGGTACTAATATCTCAGATGAAGAGCTGACGACAGCTCCCTTCCCACCTACCACGCGACCCCCTCCTACACACCCTCAACATCCCTGCTCAGCGTCATCTTACTGTGTACTAGAGACTGGTTTCTCGAAGGGTTCAAAGAACTTTCCACCCATTTTCCAGAAGGCCCGAAAGCTAGGCGTGCGGGTAAAGGCGTTTAAGCTAACAAGGTGTTGGGCGTGCAGGGGGGTTGTGTACCCCGGTACCGTGCTGCATGATATAGATTGCACTTGTGCGGGGGACTTGCGTTAGTCACTGTTTTGTGCGTGTGGGTATGGATATGTGTGGGTGTTCAGAATTGTGCCGTGTGTGCGCGCGCGTACGCCATGTATGTGTTGCCGTGTTAGGGTGTTATGCACGAGGGCAGAGCTAGGTAAGTCCAGTAGTAGTATGTATGTATGTATGTATGTATGTACCAAGGCACGTCACAATCACTGCCGAGAACATGGTCAGAGCTGGATGCAAAAGGTTGACATGGGGCATGGGCACTGTTTCTAATTGGCAAAGCTTTGTGCTGGTCCACCACAAGAAATCTTCTTTCACGCCCATCATCCTAAACCTAGCAATGGCCAGCGGCTCAGGTCAACGTCCCGTGGCGGGGCCGAATTCGTATGGCTACTTAGTATACATTCTAGTCTCCACAGAACGTCCTTTCAATTCATCACTTTGATTTATTCGCTGATTATCCGGTCTTTCTTTGCCATGGGTGGTATAGGCAATTGGGTAACCTTCTCCATTAGGATGCGGCTCTTCTGGAGCATGCATCCTTTTCCTTGGCTGGTTGTTTTCTGCCAAGCACTTTCATCGTGCTTGCAATCCTGGACTCGCCTTGCAATGTCGCCCCAGATGCCACGCCACGACTGGATTCACCAATCATGACAGCTGCAAAAGGCAAAACTTGGGATGCTGCAAAAATACCAAGGCCGATCGTCGTCTGTGCGGAGCACATACAATAGGTACCTGATAGAGTATGTAGGTACCGACACAGGACGCCGGATGTGCAGGTCTGTGCTTGACCTCAGAACTGGGTTGGTCCGACTACCCCGCTCTTGTCTCATATATGATAGTCAACGCAGCGTGTAGTGAGGACTTCCTAATGCATATGTACGCGGAGCTCACCAAAAATGGAAGGCAAATCTTGCAGCCGAGTCGATAATGGACATTGCTCCTAGTCCTGTAGGAGCCGTTCTGCCCGGCAGTCACAAGGCGCCAGATGGTGCCTTGCATGATGTTTGGCTACTACCCATGATTCGAGTCCCTCAAACCTCAAATTTGAGTCCCGCTGTTCGTAGCCACATTTGTCGTTTTCCCTCGGCTTCGCGTATAATCTCAGCAGAGAGACGAAGACTGGGCGCAAGATGCGCGTAGCGCTCCATCTCTAGAACAACATTATTTATGATGTCGTCCATTGTCGCCGGTGGCGGAAGAAGCTGCGATAAAGAAGGTGTCATGGTAGCACCCATGATGAGAAGTGTTTGCGAGATGATACTAGAGTATGGTTAGCGTACGTATGAATGGCCTGGGCAGTGGACTCACGAAAGTGCGCCTTGAAACAAATAAGGCAAATGTCCAGCATGGTGCGCGGTGATGTATTCCAGTTGACGAACGCATGCTTCGAGGCACTTGTGGCAGTTATCCTGCACACTTGAATCCATTGCAAGAGATTCGTCTTGTAACACAAGAAGCACATAGGGTCGGAAGATGATTGTGCGGCATGCAAAGTAGCGTAGTCTCAGTACGGTCTGGACGGGGTTCTGCAGTGGTACTCTGTCGAGCGGGAATTGCATGGCTGGCGGTAATCCAGCATACCACTGGTTCAATTGGTAGTCTAGTTCCACGACCAGCGGGTCTAGTTGCGCAATCGAGGTAGCAGCTGGGCCTTTCGAGTATGGTGTTGTTCGGATGTAGAGCATAGAGCTTACGCGATTGAGCAGTCTCCGGAGAGCGATCTCGGCGAGGAAATACCAGAGCTCATCGCGACCAACAGCGTCGGTTCCCAAGTCTTCAAAACCGGTTGGAAGTGAGAAGCCTTCTTCAAACTGTGCTATACCAGAGTGGGGAAGATCAAGTTCTGCCAACAGATCGCTTTCAATCATGACTGCGTTCCAATATACTCTCTTGCCCAGCTCTTCCTCGGCAGGGGACACGCGACCAGGCGCGCTCAACAGGAGCTGAAGCTTCATGCTCGCGCCGGATAACACATTCCAGGCCTCGACTGGACGTACAAGGTAGACCAAGTATGCTGCGGCTAGGATCTGACATTGTGCTGCAACCATGTTGTTCCTTGTCATAACAGTGGGCAACAAGCTCCAGGCTGCAGCGAAATACGCCAAACCCGGAGGATCCTTCTCCGGGTTTTGCTGTGTGATGCTGCCTGTGCTTGCAGCATGACCGAGCGCAAGCACCAAGAGCACTATGCAACTTTCTGGACCATCCCGGAATCCATGGCTGAGGGCAGTCTGGTAGTGGGCACTCCAGGTATAGGGGTTGACAACGGCGTAGAAAACATTGACTCTTTCGAAATATGCTTGAACATATGCGCCCGTGTTGGAGAGATCTAGCCCGCGACTGGTTCCGAGGCTTACCGATTCCCTAGTCATCTCGAGCTGGAGAAGGATCTTGGCGTCATACTGGCGAGAAACGAGCTCGCGGATCATTGGTGACGACAGCAGATTAAGCGCGGCAGTATTATGGGTCTTTGGCATGGTCGAGATATTTGAAGGATGGTTAGTCCATGTGCCGATGCCGTTGATCGGCTGAACCATGCCGAGATGGGGTATATTGCCGCTACTGCGGGCGAGAAAATCTTCGCTGGTCGAGTTGCTGGCTGCAGGTGAGTGGGAAGAGAGGGAGAAGTTACTGGTAAGACCGGATTGGAGCAAGCCTTCGATGCGGTTCAAGTGTTCCAGAATCAGCTTGTCGCCTGCGTCAAGCTTGATGCCGGGTTCGCGGTAGATACATTCTGCGTTGAGCTCTGTGCAAAGCCTGCACTTTGGCCTGGTTCCATCACATCGCGACTTGCGTGACCGACATATCTCACACTAGTTGATGTCAGTTTCTGGGCCAGAGGGAGGTTGTGGAACAAGACGAAAGCAAAGTGGCTGATGTACCGCAATGGTTGCGCGCCGCCGCGGATAGTCTATTGTGTCGGTACTTGGGCGCTTCTTGTTTGTCGGGCGTGGCTCTGTGCTGGTACCGTTGGTGCCGTTGCTGGTGGGCGCGATACCATTTGACTGTGCGGGCGGGGTGGTGTCATTGGACATTTCCCGGTCGGTACCAGAGGACTGTGACATGTTGCGGGGTCGCTTCTTGAAGGTACCGTTTACACTACTGCTTCCTGAGAACAAGCCATTGGGGGACTCGAGGAGATGAGGAGATCTTAGAGTGGATTTAAGCACGAAGCTGTTGGTGTCTGGCAGAGTGGAGAGATTGAGGTAGAAGGCGTCACGGGGAAAGCCTCCATTGGTGGTGGCCGCTGACACGGGGCTGATTTCTGGAGAAGGAGTGATTGCGGCCATGATTGGTGGACGAGTGGATAATGGCCGGGGGGTTAGTCCTACACTTTGGGGCTGGGGCGTCCAGCCACGATACCGAGACTACGTGGTTGATGCGTAGGCGGGACGGGTAGGGGGGGAGGGGTGTACTTGGTATGTAGGAGGTGGTAGTAGTAGTAGTAGTAGTAGTAGTAGTAGTAGTAGTAGTAGTAGTAGTAGTAGTAGTAGTAGGTAGGCTGGCGGCAGCAAGGTAGTAGCAAAGACAGGAGAGGGCCGGGCCAGTAGCGATTATAACCACACCCCAATCTCGCGTGCGTCTAGCTCTACACATGTGCAAAACATGGCTCGCGAGATGAGCGGCGCAAATGCGGGGATGACAAGGGGCGTCAAGTACTCCACGTTCGGCTCAGACAATCAATAACAGCGGCGGCAGAGGATGCTCCCAGACCAGGATGGCGAGTCGTCAGCGGAAGCGCACCGTGTATCGTCGCCTCCCCACAGCGGGCGCAGCTGGCAGGCATGAGGAGGGTGCGGGAATGGGCTGCTTACAGAGAAGGGTGCAGGAAGCACGGAGCCGTTCCCAGTCGGTTGCTGGTTAGCTGTTGCTGCGGTGGTGAGTAGTGGTGGGAAGCGAAGACCCGCCAGCGCTGCTCACGACGCACCCAGCCGGCCGCTTCATGGATACGGCGGCCAACGATGAGGAGGACGACGGCTATACACTTGGCAAAGAGGGTCCAACACCGACCGACTGCCATGACCATGACCATGACCCAACAGCGGCAGTGTGGACCTGCATAAACTGCGTCTCCTGATCATTCACGCCCGGCCCCGACATGGTCGACAGCATTTCCATATTACCCCAAGCCACTCGAACTCGACGCGAAGCTCTGCTCTCCGTCTGATAGGCACGACTGGCCTTCGGTGCAGCTCCTCCTCATATCGGAGCACCCCTCATATTGCCATGACCACCTCGGGCCCACCCTGTGCCTGTAAGAGCCGTCAAACGGCGCCTGGCTGGGGTGCACCAAGTACCCATCCCATCGACTGACTGACTTGGCCATGCACCCATCTGTACTTGCACTCACGGACATGATACACCGTCCATGGCATTCCTCATTCCGGCGCATCCACCTCCGGACCTGCAACACTGGCAGCCTGGTGCTTAGTGCCGCCGAGGCCAGACGCAGTGTTGCTTCCTTTGGCATAGCCTAGTCTCGAGTTCAGATGACCGGGTGGTATGTGCGACCTTCATCCGGACAAGCCTCGCACTGGGTCAGCAATCCTAATCTGCGCATCGAGCGCTTGAACCCTCTCGAAACACGGCCCTTGGTGGAGCACGCCTTGGGTATTCGCATAGTGTATGTGTAGTGTACCACCATCTCCTCAGTATACTACGCTGTTTGGGGAGGGGACGGACCGTCGCGTCTTGGACATAGTCAAGTAGATACTCATGGCCCCTTGGACCTTGATGGAGAATAGCCGGTGGGTGGGTGTGCCTGACTCTGACGGCCATGTAAGTAGCGTCACGCAACAACATGTACAAGACCGACAATGATCCGATCGACTCGAGCCCATACTTGCATGTCCCCTGCAAGAACGCTTTTGTCGACAACGGCCCAGGGTCACCGCGTGGACGTCATGTCAAAGTATGGATATGATTACTGTCTTGCCTAGAGTAGCGGCAGACGCTGCCCTATTGCGAGGGAACACGGCATCCGAGCGAGCGTTTCGGCACTAGGAAACTTTGGCCACGGTTCCTTGTAAGCCCATGACAAGTATCGTGCATGTCGCGGAGAGCCCCCGAAAAACGGCAATCTATATGACTGTTGAGATCTATTGCCGAGACAGCAAACCCACACAAGCCTTATGACATTGCTGCCTCTCTCTGACCAGAAAAATTGCTTTTGGATACATGCCTTTGTAATGTACAATAAATGATGGTGCAAGCACAGACTCAGTGTCTGGTTATGGACATCCCTTCCTGTATCGGTGCAGTGGCTGAACAACCTGCCATCTTTCACATCTCCAAGGAGCAAGTCCATCCCTACGACACGGATGCAGCCACAGACCCGAATTGCATCGCATAGGGCATACGCAACTCCGACTCCTCCTTTAGTTATTTTCTTCTCCTTTCCTATCAAAGGAACTTGCACTACTCATCATATTGTCGCTGCTTGTGTTACACAGACAAGTTCGTCGCCATGGTGGCGGTAGAGGAAAGAGCACCTCAGGCACTGCCTCGCAAACAAAATAGCGAACAGACGAGCTACCACTACTGCTGCTACTGATGCTGCTGCTACTGCCACTGTACAGACCATCACTTCATCGGATCCTCAAAGCTTTACCCACGCCCATGCAAGTGACCTACAAAAAGGAATTCCACGCAGCCAACCACTCCCTCAAGCAAACGCCTGAAAGGACCTGTACAGCGTGAATCATCTACGCCGCCACACATGAAGTCCGAAGCAGCCGAAGCCTTTACATCCAAGACAATGAGGCCGGAAGCACTGGAGGCTGCCAAAGCATTGGCAGATCAGGAAAACAGACAGCCAGCGTCAACTGGCTCGTCTGGCACAGAGCATGTATGCTATAGGCGCCTTATCAAAGCACAAAGCTAATCCGACTGGCCAGTCGCTGCCTCAAGATACCCCAAACAACGTTCCAACTACGGTGACACACTCACCCTCGCCCTCACACGACACGGTACGCAGCACACACGACACTGCTGGTGATGCCTCGAGAGCGTCGACCCTCCTCTCCGAAGTGATTCAGGGTGCCAAGACTGCTGTTGGCGACGTCCTAGCTTGGGCTGAGAAGAAGGTCGGTAGTTTGGACTCAGAGAAAGGCGGTGCAGGACCCTACGACTCGCCAGCTACATGCATGCCTTCCGATCTCGATGCTATTGCGAGCGGCATCTTGCCTGCCATGCCAAGCAAGAGCCAACGTGACGGCGGTGCTATGGCAAAAGGAAAGGAGATACAGGATACAATATCTGGAAAGGAAAAAGACAAGCGTCGGGGTTAGGGCACTGTTTGAAGCAGCATGGTGAGCATATGACGATGAAGCGGCAAGTGATAGATTTGCACGAGCCGAACAACGAGGGAAATGGTACCTGGCGCTCTGTTTACTTTGATTCATTTGTATGTTATGGAAGCCAACCAAACAGAGTCATCAAATACTACATTGCGTTACAGAAAAGATATCAGTACGTCTCTAGAATCTCACACAGCGCAGCTGGAATACGAGGAAAAGTGGGGGAACCATGCATACATACGTACTAGTCCACGCTAGTAAGCAACCTCGGCTTTGCACCAGCAACCAAGAATCTCATCATCACGTCGACACAACTGTACAACACTTTCCGTCCCCGCTCCCCCATCACAAGCTAGGAACCCCAAATCTCACAGCATCCCGATAGCACCTTGTCTCCTCAGATCGATCACGCAAAAGCAGCAATTGTGCATTGTCAAGCGCAACAATGGCATCGACAACCTCGCAATCGCACCCACTCCTGCTCGCGACTAGTGCAGCCTACGGCGTGCTAGCCCTGGGCCACACGGTAAATACACCCTTGCCCTCGGGCCAAAGCAGAAGAAAAAAAAAAGATAGTAGTACCATAGGAGCAAGTACCTGACATGTTCTCTCTGTCTGTGATTGCAGATGAAAGGCCTCGATCAGTTCAAACATCCAACCATGAACACGCTTCCACTTGTGCTTCGGGGTGCCTCCAAGATTGGCTGGTACGAAGGCAGTGGCTTCTTTGTCATCATGAGTAAGTCTCTCTATCTCTCTCTCTCTCTCTCTTTTTTTTTTTACTTTCTTATTGTACAATATCAATCCATATCAAATGAAGAGTGTGGAGAATCAAACGTACTAATAATTCTACTTTTTTTTCCCTCCTCAAAGGCATCCTCAACTACAAATGGTCTCAGGTGGGAGTGTACGACATATATGACAAGAGCATTGCTGCCATCTTGACCGGCCTCCTGGCTGCTGCTGGTGCGGCCTATTGGAAATCAAACGACAAGCCAACTGCTGTGACGCTGGCTACCGTGGCTATCCTCCAGGGTCTTGGCGTGAGGAACGGGTGGTACCAGCGCTCTTTTTAGACAACCGCGTGCTTAGCAGGCCTCCGTGGTCAGCAATGTCATATTGCACGCATGATGTTATACTTTGGGCCAAATTTTAAGAGAACGCAAGCATTATTACTCCTGGGCCGGGTCTGCTACCAAGGCACTGTATTGTACAGATAATCCACATGAAATCGTGAAAAAGAAAACCGTGTAGTGGGGTATAGAACACTGCCCTAATGCCGCCCACGATGATGATCCGAATGCACCACATTCATACAAAAACCCCAGTTCCCATACCATGAATCATGACCCATTATCAATCTCCCTGCCAGAAGCACCATTCATGTGGAGAAACAAGATGAAGATGCTATAGACAAGGCCTTGACTACTTGTTGTCTTTGTTGGCCTTGCTAGTCCCGTTTGCCTTCTGAACAAGGACAGGAACTGCTCGCTTGTCGCTACCAAGCAGGCGCTCAAGCCGAGCAATGTAGTACTCCTCAAACGTCTTGCTAGCGTCCATCTTAACCTCATCAGCTGCTAGCTGCTCAAGGCGCAAGAAAGCGCGGTTGACGGCGTCTTCGATCTCCTCAGCCCAGTTGCTCTTTTCCGTGACGCCTTCGCTCCTCAAGCTGTCACTGCCACCACGAACCGCCGGCTCGGTACAAGATGTGCCCATCTCCATAAGGGTAGAGGGAAAGCAAGGGGCAACCGAGCTTGTGGGCAAGTCATCCGAGGTGAAGCTCAAGTACTCGGCGATACGAGGGTTGGCGGCAGGAGAGCCCAGGGCGATAGGCACTGTGCCCTCGGTCACACTGATGGGAGAAAGAGGCTTACGAGCGTGCCTGCTCTTGCCGCTATCGCTCACTACCTCAGAAACGCTGGCAATGTCGGCCTCGTCATCTTCGGCGACCGAAGGCTCGGGAGAATAGTTGACTGATCCCGCATCTCCTTCATGCTGACGCAGCTTGCGGTTATCGAGCTTCAACTGAGCAAGTCTGTCACCGATGGCGCTAATGCCGCGACCGCGAGTCGTAGGATTACGGTAGACGATGGAGGGCTCCGGGGAACCAACTACGGGCGTGTTGATGGGAGGGGAAGGATAACCGGCCTCCTCGGCTGCTTCGTTGAGCGACTCCTGAATAGGAGCAAGAATCCTAGCCACAGCGGCGTAGTCCATCTCTGGCGGGGGGTCGACAGGCTCACTGGCAAACGGAGTGCCGACAGGCTCGGTGACTGGTGTGGGATTGGGCACTGACGGAGCATCCGATTGGCAGTCCAGCGACGTAGCCTTGGCCATCATGATGGAAATCATTGCCCAAGTCTTCGTAGCGATATTTGGTGTGCTGCTGCGTCTTGTGAGTATGGTGGAGAAATACTCGCGCTGTGGTTGGTCGGACAGAAATCAAGGCAGGTGGAGCAAAAGGAGTAGCAACGAGCGATTACCTACATTCAAACGATGTGTTTTGAAGCTTTGGTGAAGCGATAAACCTTTTGCGCTGAGACTATAACGCGAACAAATGTGCCGGTAGCAGTCGATCTGAGCAATGGGAGCGCAGTGTATGGGTGAGGAGGGTGAGGAGAGGTGAGAGCGTCTGTCTGGGAAGGAGCCAGAAGCCAGTTTGCAACTACTACCAAACGCTTGACAAACAAACAAACGGGCGATCCCAAGGGCCTCCAGTCCGCTTATCCTATGAAATCTTGCGCGGCATGTGGCCCGTTTGTGTCCCGTGCGATAAAATCCTCCTTCACTGTGACATGACGTCGATATTGGCCGACGGCGTCCTGAAGACTGAGGTGCTGGAAGGTAGATTGTGGAGAGCAATCCCAGATGCGACTGCTGCTCCATCTTCACCTGTGTTCAGATTTGCGGCAGGACGAGCGCTTTCATCGCATACCGCATGACCTTTTCCCCGGCCGTTTGTCTGCGAGATAATCCAAGGTGAGAGGTTGTAATAAGCTCCGCAGGCAAAGATGCCAATCCAGAGGGCCAATTCGGTGCCATAAATCACTATCCCCAGAATGTCAAGTGTAGGCTGAAACAGGACGGACACCAGTGAGAAGACATCGCCTAGAGCATCAATGGCTACAAAGATGAACGAGATTCCTCGAACAGTCCGAAAGAGGTAGATATCAATGTAGTGACGCATAACGCCAGCCGCTAGCAAAGCAGCTGAAGCAACTGCCATGAGGATACTAGGCCAGTGCAGGCCCTGGTGCTGAGCACGTCGTATTGCGAAGATGAGGCCAGTTTGCACTCCCCCCATAACACTGGCTATGGGGATGACTACTGCAAGCGAACGCAAAATTGACCAATTCTACAGGATGTCAGTTTCCCTCATGCATTGAAATCTACAATATCCTCGAGTCACCTTTTCGTAATAGTAGCACTGGATCCACGTGACGAGACTCAGCACAGTGAGAATTTGAGGCTGGATGCGCAGAGCAATGTTGTAGTCTTCAGCAATGTTATAAACGCCCAGGGGGACACCAGCCCAAGCCCACAACATCATCATTGTGGGTTGCAATCCGGTTGCATTGTGTCGTCTGTAGTTTACGACAATCTGAGGTATCAACTGTGAGACACTCAGCATTACCGTTAGGTATAAGACGGGGAAGAAGATATGTGGCTATATACTACACACATACCTGAATAGACCAACAGACCTACACCAATCAGCATATTGGTCCTTTCTTGAGGATAGCTCACGTACCGCTCCCATGGTACCCAGTACATTGGCAGCCACCGGGACGTCCATTGTCAACGGACAGAAGATGATGAAAGCGCGTGAGAAGTTAGAAAACTAGCAGCAACGTGGGGGCACTACGTCTATATTTCTACCAATCAACGTATGTGCAAGTCAAGTTCCCAAGAAGTTGCATCACGTCACGTCCCTGGAAAGTGGAAGCGGAAGCGGAAGCGGAAGCGAAACCAAGAAGCAAGGATCAGCCTTGCTGCCGCCATGACGCTCTTAACTCCGAGGCTCCGACAATGTGTGGAAGGGCTTAGAAATCACCCGACCTAACGCTGCCACATTTGTCCTGTGCTTTAACGCAAGAAATACGCTTGGGGAAGGAAGAGAGACAATGGCGCAGGATAAGCTGGATACGAGCGAGGCAAAGGATGTAGAGGGAAGGCCTGGTTACAAGAAACTGGCGAATGGCATCATACTCGGTCCAGATGGCAAGCCGTAAGTACCTTCTCTTTCTTTCTGTACCTACATGTGTGTATGTGTATGTATGTGTGTGTGTGTGTGTGTGCCTGTGAGCAATCGCGCCGGGCAATATACAAGGCTTACAATCGCTATAGCCCTTTCTCGCATGTGCATATGAGAAGAAGTGAATGCTAACATCTGGTTTGCCTACGCTGTAGATGTCGCACCTGCAACGATGTAGCTTCTCTATTCGCAATGTCGGGCAAGATGCCTACGAAGCGCACACAATCCACCGCGACCACCGCGACTGCCAAAACTACCCCAACAATGCCCGCCGACTGCCCACCGGACGTGGAAGCCCTCGGCCGCTCTTCGTGGACACTCCTCCATTCCATAACCGCCACATATCCGACCAATCCGTCTCCCCAACTACAATCGGAAACCAAGTCGTTCCTCTCCACCTTTGGCAAACTATACCCGTGCTGGGTATGCGCCGAAGATTTCCAAAAATGGATGCAGAAGAACACGCCGAGAGTCAGTAATCGCAGCGAGTTTGGCGAGTGGATGTGTGAGGCGCATAATGCAGTCAATGAGAAGTTGGGCAAGGAGACATTTGATTGCAAGAGGTGGGAAGAGAGATGGCGGACTGGGTGGAAGGATGGTAGGTGCGATTTCTAGGTCAAGCCAGGAAGCTACCTCGGCCGTGTGCGACGTGTACGATTATGTGTAGTGTATATGATAGTGGGCATCATTTGTGTTTGCAAAGCGAGGACGCCACCACTCTTGTATAGTTAGCATCAAGGACAAAGGCATTGGGCGGTGTTCATAGGCCACATCGAATACGCCAATACGCAAGTTTTGTTTTAGACCATGACGTGCATCGTGAACAGGGACACCAAAATAGCCAGGCAAGTTGCAAAGAAGCATGCATTTGTGCTTATTGTCATGTCACACTGTGACGACGAAAATTGCTCATAGAAAGTATTCGAAGCTCAAGCTCATATCCGCGCACCTCTGCGCTGTCACGCTAATGTGTTTCTTCTGCTGCGAATCCAAATGACAGGAACATGGTATGCCACTTCTCACATGCTAACGCGCTCAGACTAGCTGGCTGCAGACAACTTGCGAAAATGGACTTGATCGTGGTATCTTGTATTAATCCCGCGCAAGGGCTAACGACGTGAGGGTTTTTATCGCATAATCTCCTGGTAGATGAGGACTGCGCGTGCTGTTAGCTCATACTAGACGTGTGGAAACTCGTCTGCACTCACGCTTCAACTGTTCCTTGGTCAGGTTGTCCTTGTTCTTATCAAAGTCGAAGAACTCCTCTGGGATGGGGTCCGCGCCCGGCTCGTCATCTGGGTCGTGGTAGGGCTCAAGGTATGGGTGCTTGAGCGCGTCCTCGACGGAGATGCGCTTGACTGGGTTGAAAGCCAGTAATCGCTCGAGCAGGTCAAGAGCCAAATCATTTGTCTTGGGGAACATGGCCTTCCAGGGGATCTTCTTCTTGAAGGGAAGAGATCGGATGTATTCGCGAGCTCGGCGGGACTTGATGCCGTAGTAATCCTCCATGGTAGGCGTACCGAGTACGTCAAGGATCAGTGTGAGCTGGTGGTGGTCTGGCAAAGGTTAGTTTTTTTTGGAGCTGATTGGGAGGCACTGCGCGCGACTTACAGTCCTTTCCTGGGAAAAGAGGCTTTCCGCTGAGCATCTCAGCGAGGATGCATCCTACACTCCATACGTCGATTGCTTTTGTGTACTCCTTGAAGGTAAGCATAATCTCTGGTGCACGGTACCAACGAGTGGCAACGTATTCGGTCATGAAACCCGAGTTGTCCTCGGTCGACGCGGCGGATCGAGCGAGACCAAAATCACAGACTTTGAGATCGCAGTTTGCGTTGAGCAGCAGGTTGGAGGGCTTGAGATCGCGGTGGAGGACGTTTGCAGAGTGCATGGCCTTGAGGGCGCGTAGGGTCTGGTAGATAAAGTACTGGCAGTGGTCGTCGGACAGCTCCTGTGTGCGGATGACACGGTGCATGTCCGTCTCCATCAGTTCCTGAGCAGCAGGTTAGGAAAAAGAGAGCATGCACAAGCAAAGCAATTTGCGCACCTGAATTAGGTAGACCTCGGTGAAGGTCTCGTAGTTGCGGGGCTTTTGGATGTCCAAGATGGAGATGATGTTTTCGTGGTTGAAGTAGCGCAGCAGCTTCATCTCTCGCAGTGTTCTCAAGCAGAACATGGAGTGATCAAAGGGCGTGATCTTCTTAATGGCAACCTTTTGGCCCGAGGGCTTGTGCAGAGCGGAGCTGTGGTTGTTGTTAGGGGGCTGAAAGCAGGCCATTGGCGGGCGAGACGTACCATACGACACCGTATGCGCCCTCTCCTACAACATCTTGGATGTCGTACTGCTCCGAGACGTTGAAGGAGATTTTCCTGGAGCTGCCGCTTCCTGCTGGTGGCATGGTGGCGGTTGTGGTGGATGGGATGCGCGAGGGCGCGGTGGGTAGGAGCAGACGAGTGGAGGCTCAGATGGTGATGATGGTGGTGGTGGTGGTTGCGGGGCTGCGGTTGCGTTGGTGCGGAGGGGTGATTGAAGAGGCGAGGGAGGCGGGCAACAATGTAGAGGGTGGAAGAGACGGCTGCAAAGAGTTGTAGGTCAGCACAGGCTGTACATGTCATCAAACAGGCATTGTTCGCAAGACGGAGGGTGTGCTTTGGGCGCTCATGGTGAAACGAGTCTGTGTCAGACACAGAGTTCAGCCCCACGTGCTTGTCTGCGCGGCACGAGCAGCCAGAGCAGAAGCGGCGGCGGCGGCGTCGGCGTCGGCCATGGCATCAGCACCAGCACCAGCAATAGCAATAGCAGAAGCAGCAATTGACTGTGTGCACGGCGTCGGCGGCGGCTATCTTGGGCGCCAGTGCACAATGGCGGCGTGGGCTCCTCTGGACGACGAGATGACATGGATGACTTACTTAGCAGACACTGGCGGGAGGGCCCAGGGCTGTAGCAGGTGTGTGGTGTGCCCTTGGAGGAGCTGTGCTGTGCTGTGCTGTGCTGTGCTGCTTCGTTCTGGCACTGGCTGGGACTGCCCGCGCAAGATGGAGGCAAGTGAGGCGGTGACAGAAAGGGGAGAGAGATGGTGGGGTAGCGTGTGTAGTGTAGTATGGCCTGCCAAGTCAATCCCTCCCAGCTCCCAGCTCCATGCTCCATGCTCCAGGCTTCACTATCACACGCCCACGCGGGAAGCGGCACAAAGGGAGCGACCGCGCCTGTCGACTACACTACTGCCACTGCCACTGCCACTGCCACTGCCTCTGCCTCTGCCTCTGCCTCAATGGCTAGTGGCGCACGGCGGGGGCGACAGTGCATCGAGGCAGCGTCACTCCCTCTCTCCAACATCACGGCGTCATCAACAAAAACGGTGCAATGGCGCGTATGGCGTTGGCGTTGGCGGCGGTAGTGGTGGTGGTGATGGTGGTGGTGCTACTCCTCCTACTACTCACTTGCACTGCCACTGCTGTCTAAGATGGGAAGGCGGGGTCGGCCAGGCACCATCCATCCATCCATCCATCTATTGCAGGACCACAACTAGGGACAAACTCAACACCAACATGCTACAACAGGCCACATGAGACCGGCGATACACTCCAAAATATACTCTGCCGTCCCAGCAACAGACTTTGGCTAGCCGCCCGATGATCCAGCCACTGTGTGAGTTGCGCGACTCGCTCTCGTAACCCCTCTCCCTCTGTTTCGCCAGGCCGGCCAGACACTTCCGCCTATCATTTCTAGGCCACTACGGCCAATACCTGAAACTGCTCATCTGCGCGCCCTACTCCCACCCACTCCTGCAACGCCTATACTTAGCAGACCCATTATGAGACCAGCCTCACCATGCGGCTTCCCCTTCTCCCGGACCCATTCGCTCCTCCGCCCGCACATGGCCGCCCCTCCACCTCCCCCATCACAAACACAATGACTCTTGTCTTCCCGGCACCCTGGGTCGCAGCCTGCTGTCCATTGTCTTGTCACTCGCCCTATACCCGCCACGCATCTGCAAGCCCTTTTTTTTTTACATCTCCGTCTGCACAAGGAGAATAATATTGCGCCTTCCCTCGTCGTACACAAACATGACGCTTGTTTCAAGTCGAAGCTCCGCAGCCTTTTCCAGAAGCCGTTTCAAACGGCAATCGACCCGGACGGGAGCGTCGGTGCAACCCCCTGCCCAGTCTTTCTTTGCAACCCGCGAGCACCCAGCCCACATGCCGTACCACCCTGTTCCATGTATTTGGCGCCGGTACGTAAGCATGACTGCAAGGTCCCGTCAGAACCATACAAACGCCGCAAACCGACATCTCGCCGTCCAACATGGCTACTGCAATTGCCGGCTCACCTGGCTGGGCTTGAATGCGCCCAGCCGATCTGCAATGTTTTATATCAAAATACTTACCCACATGTGCCTTCAGAGATGACGACTGCTATCTAAAGCATCAATTGGTTCAAATAACCATTCATAGAAACGGATAACGGTAATGTTGTAATATTGCAAGTCGCTAAGCCTTCTCAAGAAGAAAAAAGACCATCCGCATCATGCCGTAAAGGCCAAGAAAACGCCCTTTTTTACACCTTTACTCCTACATACGCCGTGTCGTGTACAATCTTCCCTGTGTGGGTTTTGTTCTTGGGCCGAGCAGGCCGAAATTGACGAGTAGTACCAGTTGTCCTGCCACCAATTCTTACGCCCGCTCAACCACGCTGGGAGTCATGCCGAAGACAAAGAGCCCTTGGGCGGGTATTGCTGTCCCTCTTGCTCGATCCGTGGTACGCATGTGCACCACTGATCTGATGGAATGCTCTCCATGACACCAGCAACGTGTTTCCCACAGCCCCACCAAGTGACCTTGTCTACAGGGTGGTCAGCAATGCCTTGGTAGGATGGCATGTCAAGACACATCTGTCTATCCGGGATGCAGGGGGGTAAGCGGGCGAAGAAGACGTACGGCACGAGTCGCATGAAGCCTTTTTGCACATGGTGATTTTTTTTGTGGTAGGTATTCAATACACTTTTTTTGTGTAGTGTCGCAGAAGTATATAGGTATGTAGATAACCTGACGATCAATCTCGCTATACGAAGCAGTAAAAGAATATCTTTAGATAAAGACAACAACGTCTACCCTCTTCCATATATACCTCCACTCTCTCACCTTTATATGACCAAGGAAATCACACATACGCGTACCCACATCATCCCAACCCATCCTCTTCGGCGACCTCTCTGGGTCGCCCTCCACACCGGGACGCCCCAAGACCGCAACTTTGGTTCTTGGGCGCGCTCCGGTGATTGGCCCGCCTGCGCTTTCCTCCGACATTTTTTTTTGGTCGCCGACTACAAACTCGGCGACGTTGCCCTTTCGAAACGCACATACCCACCCCTTATCCCTCTTTTCCCTCTCTTCTTCTTCTTCTTCTTTCTAGACTCTGGTCCGGTATTCTTTCCCCCCCCCCCCTCTTCCGTCGCGGACTACAGGGGTTTAGCCCTACGGGAGAGGCGTTTAAGTTGAACCTAGTTTTCGCCGGGTCCTCTCTTTTTTTTTTACCCATGAACCCGAAGAAGAGACGACCGGGACGTATGTATATATGTATACATACATAAATACTAGTAACCCCCCTGAGGGTGCTTGTAATTGTAGTTCAGGTGCAACCAAGGATGGAATCATAAAAGTCATCAAGGAGAATTAGTAATAGTAGTATGCAAAGTTAGACGGAAGTATAGCAAGTAAAATAGATTGCATCTCCACCATGTACTACATACGGACAACATCGGGGAATTTTAACTTCTCTTGGTCCGAGACGCCTACCCTGGATTAGTGCTCTAGTATCTACTATGTACCATGTTAAAAAGTCCATGACAGCATTTCGGAACACTTCGCCGACCAACTCGTCAGCCATAACTAAACTTTGATATACACTCATACGCAACATACACGGGGTGCTGAAAATCAATGCTTCTAGTCAAAAGTAATCTTCGTCGCGGCCTTGGCATTCTCCGTGTCCTTGTAGAAGGCTCCATACGCTCCGTGTTCCTTCTTCTTGACTGTGGTGCCAAACTTCATCAGCTCTTCTGGCACGGGCTGGTTCGCTGCCTTGAGCACATTGATCAATCTGCAAGAATATTTGTCAGCTTACGCCTCTCATGTTGCTGACACATTACAAGAAGGGGTCAAGGGTGGGGGGAAGGAAGGGGGGGGGGCGACTCACGAGCCAGAAAGCGCCTTGTCGTGTTCGGTGAACAAGGTAATAGCCAGGCCTTCCTTTCCAGCGCGACCTGTCCTACCAATCCTATGCACGTAATCTTCAGCTGTAAGCGGGAAGGTGACGTTGATGACTACTTTGACGGCCGGAATGTCGAGTCCGCGTGCAGCCACGTCTGTCGCCACGAGCAGCGGCACATGGCCTTCCTTGAACGCCGCAAGTGATGCACTGCGCTTTTCTTGGCTCAAATCGCCATGAATGCCGCCGACACGGAAGCCCTTCATACGAATAAAGTTCTCGATGCGCACTGCTTCCTTTTTGTATAAACAGAATACTAGAATGCGATCTTCCTTGTTTTTGCCAGATTGGTATTGCTTAAGCAGTTGCAAAAGACGCTGCTCCTTGGCGCGGGGATCCACAACCTCTACCACCTGCTTGATGCGCACGTTGGCACGGAGCTCCCCAGATTGATTGTCGCCGATGGTAATTCTGACCGGCGAGCTCATGAATGTAGACGCAAGGTCCCGAACTGAAGGCGGCCAAGTAGCGGTGAACATGAGCGTTTGGCGCTTCTTGGGCGTCTGCGAGATGATCTGTCGGATTGCTTCTTCGAAACCCTTGTCGAGCATACGATCGGCCTCGTCCAGGACTACGTACTCGGCCTTGCTGAGGTCTGCAGAACCATCACTAATCAAGTCGTTAAGACGACCCGGTGTAGCAACAACAATATGCGCTTTGCGGCAAGCAGCAACTTGCGGATCCTTCGGTACACCACCGTAAACACAGACGACTGAAAGTCCAACAGGTGTCGCCAGGGCTACCAGTTGATCGTAGATCTGAACCGCCAGCTCACGAGTAGGCGACACAATAACAGCCTTGATACCCTTCCGCTTGTCCTTGGGCAATGCGGCGATGTTGCGTACGCAGGGCACACCGAATGCCAACGTCTTGCCAGAGCCAGTCTCGGCAACACCAACCATGTCCCTTCCTGCGAGCAAAAATGGCCATGTGGCTGCTTGGATAGGTGTGGGTGCGCTAAATTTGGAGAAAAAGGCGCGTAGCGTATCGTCGACAGGCAAGTACTTGAAGTTCAAGATGGGACGCAGCTTGTTGCCAGTAGGCTTGGGGTCTTGAATGGTCATGGTGTTCTTAGCCAGGAAAGCATCAATCTCTGACTCAGGAAGCTGTGTCAGCTCCTTGCTCTCCTCATATTGTCCTGGCGCTGCATTTGTCTCGTTCGTCGCTGCGGGCTCCGCGGTGGTAGTGGTGGTTGGTGGGGATGTTGTTGAGGGTGTGGGCTCGGCAGCTTCTCCGCCCTTAGCCAACGCCTTCAGGCGCTTTTTCTCTGCCTTGCGTGCTGCCTTTTCTGCGGCCTTTGTGGCCTCCTCGTCTTCCGCGACAGCGCCATTAGAGTCTTTTACTTCAGCCTCTGCTGCCGCCTTCTTGGCCTTCTTCGCTTCTTTGGCTTCCTTCTTGGCCTTCTTTGCTGCCTTGCGCTCGGCCTTTGACAGCTTGTCCTCGTCCTCTGAGTCGTCCGCGCTCTTGCCGTTTGTCACCTCGTCGGTGTGGCCATTGGTGTCTATCGCGTCGACGGGGGCGGATTTGTTGAGCTTCTTGCTCTTCTTTCTTGAGATTTCGGAAACCGTGGTCGCGCCATCTTCGGCGACAACATCGGAAATTGGTCGTTTACCCATCTTGTCGATGCGCAATGCTATCTGTGCAGGAGCAACAAAAGAAGGTGGAAAAATCACTTTTTTTCGTCGGCGGTCGGCATTAGCTCCAATCGATAAGACACGCGCTAGTCCGAATCGTCCAAGTACACGACCCTGAACAGAAATCTCGCGTCTCCGCGCCTCATCATGATCTTGCCCATATGTGCGGCGATTTACATTAAATATCGTCTTTAGACTAGAGCTTTTTTTTTGTTCTCGACAACTCTAGCCACTATTGAGACAAGGCTGGATGATCATGCGCTAGCTGATCTTGTTCATATTTCCTCGCTACCAAGAGCCATGACCACTGCCAGGCTACTACGAACAGGATCAATTTCTAGTTTTGTAAGCGGTTATGTCGAATGTGACGGTGCTCAGGTGCTGGCCAGCATGCGTTGATGCGATTGACTGGTCCCCAGATGGCATTATTGCACTAGCATCTGACGAACGTGTGGAGCTGCTTGTACGTTTGGGAAAAGAGACCTCAAGATGATACCCCGCTGATGGTCTTGTAGTTTCCGAATACCGTCGAATTCGATAGGGACCAAGTCCTTCCACAGTGGCAACATGTTCCTCTCAAGGTACCTCTTTTCTCAACTGATGAGCTGCCACTCAAAGAACTGGCGCCACTATCCAACTACTCTATTGGCGAGGAAATATCCAATAGCGCTCCTCTCAGCATCGCGTGGTCACCGCAGGGTCTTGCAAAGCATCGGAAGTGCGCTCTTGGCGTTCTTACCGCGAACCTGACTCTCTCTATCTGGTCAGCCGAAGGTAAGCCGCAAGATGAATCAAGCTGGTCCCGGCGCCTCATCATTAATGATGCGCTCGCTGAGCATTTTAGCGGCTGCGACGACGAACCTAGCCACTTGACGGTATCACCCAAAGAACAGCTGCGCTTGAGAAGCCGCATTCGGGCGTTTGCATGGGCACCTGCTCTGCCTCTGTCCGAAACAAGTGGAATTGTCGGGACTAGTTTCATGTACTCTCGACACTTTCTAGCTGTGTCCAATGACGACAACCACTTGGTTTTTGTGGCAGTCGAATCACCCACTTCTACTCTAGGGGTTGGGCGGTATTGGACAACGGAGGTCCTAACTCATGAGTCGTTGACGTCAAACCCAGATAGTATCTTTTCGGAACCACGTGTGTTTGAAGATGTGATGAAACAACAGCGGTACATATCTCATATTGCCTGGAGTCCATGGATTCTATTTGACGATGGCCACCGTTCGGTGGTTGTGTACGCAACGAATGAAGACGTGCGGGCAAGAGTCATTAAGCATCAGTCTGATGGCATATACACGGAGAGGGAAGTCGTGTACCCTGGATGCGAGCTGCGATACCAAGGCCCAATGAAGTGGTCGCCTAGGATTGAGGACGGAAATCGGCTCAAACTCGCCCTTTTTACAAATTCTGGGCTCGTCTGTCTTACCATATCTGCCTACGACGGTTCGATTGTTGAGACAAAGACCCACAATCTTGACGGGCGATGGGACCAGATTTCCGGTGTAGTGTGGGATACTCCTGATGACTCGACATGTCGTTTACATCTAAGCTCACTGCTTTCGACTCTGCACAATCAAACATCTGCCCTTGAGATATCTCCGGAGGGGTTCAAAAGCCTTGGTAATCCAAGCTGGCGAGAGAAGATTGAAAATAGCATTGCACTATTCAGCGTTAAGAATGGGCTCAAGGGCAACAGCAAGGCCAAAGTTTGGGGCTTGTCCAAATCTCCACTGGGCGATTTCATTGCAGCGTGCAATAGCGTGCATCCGTCCAACATGATCGAGTATGGTATACCTGCAGATAGGAGTGGGACGGTTGCCATTAGTTCTTTGCGGAATAGCAGCGAGGAGCGGGAGGCTTTCCCCAAAGCAAATGTCAGCGCAGAGGGGGTTAGCTATACGATCCGAAAGCTGGCAGAGAACATGGTTGAGGATCAGGACGACATGCCTGCGTTTGCTGAGGAGGTTGTGCAAAAGCTTACGAGGGCGTATCCAGCTCCCCGCGTCGCCGAAGATTATGCAGACAGGGTTCGTCTGTATGCTGACGCAGGCGATTTGAACTCACTGATCAAAGCTTTCAAGGCGACGGCCTTTCTCAACTCGCATACACTCAAAGACCGGTATACGATACTCGTCTCACAAGCCTGCAAGATCGGGGTGTCACATGAGCTTGAGAGAACGCTGATAGGGTATCGTCTTGCCAATGCAGTGCACAACCTTCCAGCGTCACTTGTGAATTCAACCTTGAGCGCGGAGATAGTGGCTCAGCATGAACAGCTCATCAAACTTGTCAATGCGGTCATGGGATATGGCTCTTCAGAGAATGAGAATTGCGCAGAGTCCGGTGCCTCAAGTACTGATGAGTCTCGAACGGTCAGTACTGAGATAAACGGTAATGCCAATAATTCGCGACAAGAGGGTGCCGCCGCGTGGGAGGAAGGATGCGAATTTTGCTCTGCTTCGATACCATTCACCGACTTGGCGTCAGCCTCATGCACGAACGGACATCAATTTGCAAGATGCGGATTGAGTTTCCTTGCTATGCAAGCACCTGGTATTACGAAGTACTGTGGTATTTGCAACACGCCATTCTTGAGCGACGAATACGTGATAGTTCAGGAGAGTGTGGAAGACAAGGACAAAGATGCTGCAGAGGACAGTGCCATGAAAGAAGTGGGCAGATCGCAAAATAGAGGAGAAGAAGAGGGACTGAAGCAGTGCAATGGTGTCAGTCGAGAAGAGGACAAAGATGGCGAAGGAGATGGGAGCGGTGAAGAAGATGGGGAAATGGAGGAGGATGAAGAGGAAGAGGAAGAAAGGGAGCTCGCTGTTACACTGGGGCGGGTGCTGTTCCTCGCCTGCGATGCTTGTGTCTACTGCGGGGGTAAATTTGACGGCTGAATAGGATCAGTTACAGTGTTATCATATTCGGGGTGGAGCTTTGCCTTTGGTTGAGTCTAGCGATAAGTGGGTATAGCGTTACAACCAGTAGCATCAAGCATGAGTGTCAGCTAGATGTGGAGAATGATTTGTCTGCGCATGCGGATTGAGTTTGCTCTTACATAGTTGATGACACGATGAACTTTGTCATTATCCTTGCAGGAAATAGTTAGCCACCAACACTTGGCTGATGACTCTAGGGCTTTGATTGTGGGTTGAGAAGGGAAAAAGATATGTTGATGCTAATCCAGGCAACGACTAGTAAGTACTTAGTGTAGAACCCACATGCTCGGCCATGGATACTAGCTATTTGTGGAGTGTTCCCGAGGCTCGTGTTACCTTTAGACTACGCAGAGAGACTTGAGCTCACTTTGGCGCTATCGGCATGGATTGGCAATGGAAACGTTGGTTGCTCTGGGAATCCGTGGGACTGGCAGGGACCTTGGTGCAGTCAGGCCGGAGAGGAGTGGGGATTCTCGCAGGTTCTGCAGTGAGGGGTGACATGGGGGGCGCAATGCGCAGTGGTCGAGTACCACGGATAGCTGCATGTCATGGCCTGGAATCCGCACAAAGCGCGCGCGCCCCCACTGTTTCTGTGTGTTGAGGCGAGTGGCGCAGGGTAGGGCAGAGGGCAGTGGAGGATAGACGAGGGCAGACGAGGGCAGACGAGGGCTAGAAAGACGCACAAGTGCCTCACCCCACACTAACCACCGCACAAAGCGCGCAGACCAATCACAGGCCCGGGGTTGGCCGATGAGTGGGGTTGCCTGGAAAGGCAATTCAGGGCTCGGGAGCGGGGCAGGCGTGGCCGTTGGTCGGGGGAAGCCGCCACTGCATTGGCACGCCCGCACAAGTCGCGCATGCCTTGGGTATATAACATTTCCCTTCGACTCTCCGACTCTCTTCTTCTTCTCATCTCACAATCAGCCTCTCAAAGCCTCTCCAGCCAACAATCAACCTCATCAACCCTCTCTTCAACCCAACCCACCCAACCAAAACCACCACCATCAACATGAAGGGAAACTGCGGCTGTGCCTCCGGTGCCTGCAACTGCGGCGCCACCTGCAGCTGTGATGGCTGCCCCGTATGTCACCCTTGTCTCTATTCTCCATTTCATTCCAATGCTAACAGCTCTTCCAGGGCAAATAAGCCACTGACTCCATGAGTCGAGTGCGCAAACAAAAGACCTACGACTCCGTGAGTGGCATCACAGACTGCTCGTGCTAGCGGAACGGCCTGCTAATACACTCTCCAGACAGTCACGTCAAGACAACCACTGTGTCGCGGCAATCAATGCAGAGAATGTAGCAGTAATTAGCATTGTATGGCTAGGAGGAGATCAAGTCAAACGGGGATGAGACCATGAATACAACTACTTTTGCATCATGATATTTGTGTGTCTGAATATGTGATATTATCTTCTAGGCCATCTTGATTTCACCATCATGTGCTGCCTTCACTCTTCTCCATATCGTCGTGTCCACCCCTATCCACAACACACGGTGGCATTCTCCTGCATCCGGTCATCGCCGCCTTTGCTGACCGTGAAGCTCTCCCAACCGAAGACGAAGTAGCCAATGTACGCCCCAATGAAGATGCAGATGATGAAGTACCCATTGTAGTACATGGCCAACAACATGACAAAGTACGCCACTGCAAACGCGCAAGTGTGCAGCAATGCCCGGACGGCTTGCTGCATCACCGTCGGCCTGAACTTGGCCTTCACCACACCACCCATTGTCGGACTCGTCGCCCCCGCTGGTCCGGAGCTCTTGCTTGTACCTGGAACGATTCCCTCCGCAGACGATGCCGACGAGAGGGCCGCCGTATCCGACACGAGTGTCTTGCTGTGCTGCGTCACGATGAAGTGATCGTACTCCTTGGCCGCCCGGCGCAGAAGCTCGAGCAAGACAACGAGCAGAATGACGCCGATGCACGAGCCCGCAAACATGCCCTTGGATCGTATGTGCCACGACGGGGTGATGAAGCATGCGTCGACTACGTTCCAGTTCCACAGCATCTACATGCCCATAGTTAGTCATTCGTACCGGCACACTCTGCTTGTAAGAGAGCTAAGGGAGAGAGAGAGAGAGAGGTGCTGCGTACGCTAATCTTGCATCCATTTCCCATTCCCATACCGCCCATGTCGTGCATGGCTGCTGATGACGTAGCCATGGGGGCCATGCTGCTCATTGTCCCCATGCCTACGCTTGTGGGTGTCGCCATTGACATGTCCATGTCTGCTGTCTTGCTCGCTTCGGAATCGAGGTAGTTTTCGGGAGATGTTTCGATCACGGGTAGTGAGCGAACGGGGTATAGTGACCAGGTGCGGAGCAGATATATCTCGAGGAAGAAGGCGGTGGGTACGACGTGTACAAACGATACTTGAGCAGGTTTTCTTTTTTTTAAAAAATGACTTTTCCGTGAGCACTTTTGCGCACGAAGGTGCGGGCCTCTAGTGGGAAACAATAATCTGTAAGATTTGGTGAATGAAAAGGGAAAGTGCAGGGATGAATGCACGTTTACCTCTTCTCTGCCTGCACTCTTATACTATTCTCACTCTGTTGTTCCTGTGCATGTATATGCAAATTTAGAAAAGTAGCTAAAAAGCAAAAAAACTCTCAAAGGAACATTGGTACTTTTATACTTGCTCACCACGGCTTCTCGTAGCCTGTCCCAGGGCACCACATTGTTTAGTGCGGCAAGGATGGTTGGATAAGGAGGAGCAGAGTTCCACCTCGCCAACCACAACATGTGCCTAGTATTACACGAGCGCCTACTTTTACTGCTTTCCACCTAGCTACTCTTATCTCGTGCCACTGCCTCGCCTGACCGCCTACCGACACTCGTAGCATATTCCCACTTTCCCCCCTATCCTAAGCATCCTTAGAATCCCAGAAACATGTTCACCACGCAGCCCACCTTGCCAGATGCGGTTTAGCTGCTCCTGCAGATGAGCAGGTTTCCAGCTGAGCATGTTTCACGCATCCACCAAACATCTTGTCTTGATAGCCCTTTAGATAGTCAAAAGGAGTTTACTCTTGTTTAATCTTGCATAATTGCTGGGTTTCTTCGTGATTGGAGGCATGGACAGGGGAGGAGCGGTCCGTATATCTTGCATGTGCTAGGATACACTCTCCCCACACGTGTAATAGATGAAGTGCATGCTGCAAGTGCGATAGAGGCGCGTTCTCAACAGTGTGGAAGCAATCCATGGAGTGGGGCTCCGGAATATAGAGGATGCGAGGTGCATATGACATGGGACAAATGAGTACGTATACAGTGCTCGCTTCAAGTCGCTTCACGAGTAAAGACCCAAACATGATTGACATTCTAGACATCTATGACCCGATATATTCACTTTGGTGACCAGTTGCATGACTGAATATATAAATTTAAGCAAGAGAGCTTTTCTACCCACTCACCGTCTCGTTTCTACCAAACGGATCGATACTCGGATCCGTAATCCGCACATGCTCAATGAAACGCGCAATAGTCGTTGCGTTCTCTGCATTATAAGTCTTCTCGATCCAGTGAAGCATCATATCGATACCCGCCGTGACTCCCGACGAGCTCCAGATGGGGGGTGAGCTCGAGTAGTCCTCGACCCATCGCGCGTGCGGCACCCAAGTCGTGTTTGGATTATTCTGCACCGTCGACAACCACGACGACTTGTTCGAAGTCGCTCTCTTGCCGTTCAGGATACCCGAGCGAGCTGCGAGAGCGGAACCCGTGCAGATGGTAAGTACCTGCTGCACTTTTGGCGTCGTCTTGCGGATATACTCCATGGTAGCGTTGAGCGTGGTTGGATTGCGCCATCCTGGTCCACCAGGTATAACCAGCACGTCGAGTTCCGGCGCAGTCTCAAATGTGTGTGTTGGTGTTATCGACGGGTAAACTGATGAATTTAACGGATTCATAGCTGCTAGTGCGGGCCGCGTGGTCACCGGGTCCAGCGTCTCGGCAATGTAGACAATGTCTGTCGGGTATGATCCACCAATGAATTGCAAGACTTCAGATGGCCCGTACAAGTCGAGCATGTCAAACATGCGGAATAGGACGAAACCATAAGTCTGTGGTACGTTGGCGCTTGCCACTGCTTTGTGTCAGTGTGCTGTGCTATTGTATATTGGCAGTTAGCACATGCCCGTTGCAACCATGGTGAGCTGTATCCCAAAAAGGGAAACCAACCCCTGTAAGAAGCCCATTGTAAGCAATTTGGGCCCGAGGATGGACGTCGATGAGTGAGTTATGGGAACTGTTACTTGAACTGCTAGACCTCCACACACACACCGACTCTTTATGTGCGCATTCCACACTGCTTATATTTCCTGAGCGGTGTCAGCATCCAACGTATTCATCTGCTCTAATTCAAATAAACATTACTCTCTTGGCAAGAATCCTGTAGCCTACGAATGAAAGCTAGAATCAGGACAAGGTGGAGCAAGGCGTCCAACCCACGCTCAATCTTAATCGCTCCATCGTGCTCATGTGACAGTGTAGTTTTGGGCACTTGGCACATGTTCATACATCTAGCAATTATGAGAGGCCGGAATCGCGCCGAATTGCGCAAGTTTCTGCGCGAAGGAAGACGTTTAATCAAATAGGCGAGAGGCCTGCATACAAGGCGTGGAATGCGATTAAAGCCAAGTAAGCGGATCAGCCCGACTATGAACGTCATCTCATCTCGTTCTTTTTCGTACTTCAGAGGTATCACAATTCATTCGCAAAGTGTAGGAAAAAAAGGTTACAATGAAAAGAGATATTGGTATTGGTATAGCAAAATGCAAGCCGCGTTCCGATCAGCCTTTTTCGAAAAAAAAGTCTCAAACCCATCCTTGCGCCAAACACCCGACATAGTTTCCTCCGTACATACTATTATGTGAATAACCATTCAATCTTAGCCAGCTAACTATAACGACATGGAGAAGAACAAAATGATACGAGGACAACAAATTTCTTACAGAAGCGATACTCTGCACAATTTACGCTTGCGCCCGAATGGACCGCATCATGGTGATAACAGGAAGAAGCCTGCGCAGCCTGTTCTTCTCACCCTGCTGAACAAAGTGCGTATCCTGTCGCGCAAAAGATCCAGTCTCCACGGGTGAAACAGCTACCGTAGCGCCCTTTTCAGCCGCAGGATCGCACGCAATGACCTGTGTCTTCCTGCGTACGATAGGAGAGCCAATGGGCGAGCGCATCTTGTCGGCAATTGGGGAGAATAGGGCTTGCCTGCGGCTGATGGGTGAGCAGACGACAATGGGTCGCTGGCCCTCGCCTGCCGCCGAAGTAACGACGATGGGGCTGTTCTTGCCAACGACTGGCGAGCAAATAATAATTGGTCTCTGCTTCTCGTGGATCGGCGTAACGAGGACAATGGTGCTCTTCTTGTTCTGGTTGAAGACGCTGACCTTCTCCATGGGTGTAGTTCCGGGAATGGTGAGCTTGGGAGGAGCAATAGTGCCTGCTGTTTCGGCCGACTTCCGCCTTAGGCTGAAGTATGATCCATCGGGTCCGTCTACCCAGGAGCCTTCGAAACCCGGGGTTTGTAGAGCCTTCCTGGCTACTTGGGCTTTGGCGAGGTACATGAACTCATCGCCTTCCACTTTGATCATACAGTTGTGCCAGGGTGTTGGGAGCTGGTACTCGTATACAGGATTGGGCTCGAGGCACGTCTCAAGCGAGTCGATTGCGCGCACCTTGTCTGCTGGCAATAGACGAATGGCAAATTTGGGACCCGCATTGTTGTGTGCATGAATCGACAGACGAACGTAGTTTGGAAGAAGGAGCTCTGTCAGGTTGGAGTATGCTTGGTTTCGAGACATCATTTCCTCTGCTACAAGAGCAGCCGTCTTCTTCTTTTGCTTGCCGCTCAGAGACTTGACTGACGGGATGTCAGCTAGATCCTCGAGCATGAAGCGTGTTTGTCCCCGGTAAAGTCCAAGAGCATCGGGTTCTTGCTGCTCAATCAGCTGACGGATGTATGCGCGGTCGGGTCCTCCGATGCCAAGCATCAATTTGCGGCAGAGCTCAGCTTCGCCGGTGAGCTTCGTCTTAACGGGATGAGGCATCTGGTGCGAGTTTTGGAGAAGCTTTTGTAGGCCGAGGAAGCCATCAGAGTCAGCTGCAAAGATGTTCTTTAGGCCCTTGAATTTGATCGCTGGGACAGGGCCAGCGTCTTCTGGGTATCGTTGCTTGTATATCGCTGCCATGCAGGCATCGTATGTGTCAATCATCTCATCGTCAACGCCAACTGCTCTTGATTAGTTTCGGCCTTGAAGGTGTAGTGTTCTGTACGAGACTTACTGCAATCGGAAAAGACGTGGCCGTCATTAATAACCCACATGGTTGCGCCAGGTGCATACACGCCGTTCACCTCTTGGACAAAGGCGTGAAGTGCATCCATGGCAATGTGCTCAGCCAGATCTGGCATGATGCCGCCGGCCTTGTTTGGATTCGGCGACTTGCAGGGGAAGGCAGGTAGGGCTAGTTGGATCGGAAGGTTCTTGTCGACATAGCCGTAGACGCGGTTCAAGAACACTTCTTTACCACACACATGCCATTGGTCATCCTTGGAAACATTCTTGAGTCTCCGCTCGAAGATTTCGGCAATAACTGCACAGGTCTCGCGGTGCTTTTGGGCCCATGGTGTGGTTGATGTCGAGATGTGAGCAAATGGTTGAAATTCAGTCTCCAGGAGAACGAAGCGTTCTGCCCATATTCCAAAGCCATCAACTTTGACAGACTTTGGCCTCGAAGTCAGAATGCCCAAAAACAGGCCATTTGCGTGCTGGATCTCGGAAACATGTGTGTTGAGTTCTTCTTGTTGATATGATGGTGGGAAATTTGAGCGAATGTTTAGAAGAGCTGGAATGCTGGCGTTGATCTGAAGAGTCTTGATGGCTTTGCCAGAGGGCAACTGAAGTTGACTCCAAGACGTGTCAGCGGAGCATACAATATCTTTGAGTTGTGTCCAGATCTCTGGCAGAGATTTTGAATTGCTTCCTTCGACGGCTAGGAGTTCACCTGAAGCATCCCTCCAGTACAGGCCTTGGATGCAGTGATAGGTGTTGATGGACTTGTTAAGGGGCGCCATTGCGAGTAATTAAAGATAATTTGCTAGAAGTTTTCGCTGAAGTAGGGATAATGGTGAAATTGGACAAAGGAAATAATAAATCGAAGATGCCAGTGGCTTGAGTGGCTAAACTGTTGTGAAGGTTGGATGTTCAAGTGCCACAACAACAAGCTGTTGGCTTCTATATATCAAAGAGATGGAAAGCATGTCTCCAAGCATTGCAAAGGCCATTGCTCCACACTGTCATAGCTCAATCGGCGTGCTGTGCATGGCATCTAGGCAAGCCACCCATCGTGTGTTCCGCACACCGACTGGGACGCTAATTACGGTAGCTTCTAATCTCGCTACACAGAGTCAGCCCAGAAATTCCCCGCTTCATTGGGCGTATCGGGAGGCAGTGCGTTGGACTATCGCATGCCTTGCTCCTGCGGTGCCCCCGGGATGCATAACTTGGCATGCGCTGCGATGCTAGTAGAGGCGGCTGGAGGGAAGCGGTAGGCAAAGGCCAGCCGTCCGGTATGGGCGCAGACGTTACAGTGGGATTCAGCTGGTGACTATGCGGCATGGACATGAGCTGAGTGGTCGTGGCAGCGCTACAACGACCCCCAGGCCCGTAGTAAAGACGTTAGCGGCCCTTGGCAGCAAGCCTGAGAAAGAGGATGTTCACCCCTGCTAGTCGCACCGCGAACCATTGGCCAAAGATGCCAAGTCTTGTTCAAAGCCCCCAACTTTACCATCAGAAGCGCTCTATTATCTAAATGTAGGTGCATGGGGCTTAGAGACATACAGGGGTTTGTGCATTCGCGCATTTCGCTTCAGCCGCCTTCGTTAGAGAGCACCGCCCCCATGTAGGGCTGAAGATGGTAGCCGCATTGTTCATGGGTTTCATATATGCTCTATCAAAGCAGTAGTTGAAGAGTATTACATTTCTGAGCGCATCATCTCAGCACCATGGTTTCCTATCTTTCTTTGGTGTTTGTGGGAGCATTTGCTGCCATTTTTGGTGTATTCACATTCTTCGTTTACCTTTTCACACCACCTCGCAACTTTCCCAAGGATATCCCGACCATTCCTTTCTACTACGGGCTTTTGCCTCTTTTCAAGGACGTCGATCAAGCTGAGCTATATCGGGAATACCTCAAGGAGCCTCTAGCGCGATATGGCGCAGTGAAGCTGTTCTTTGGTGGACAGTGGAACATCCTGGTGACGAAGCCCGCCTACATAGCAGAGGTTTTCAAGCAAGAAGACACGTACGCAAAGTCAGGCAACCAAGTCAAGATCCCACACAGCGTACTTGCTGAGTACACGGGCGAAAACATCATCAGCGCCCATGGCGAGAAATGGAAGCTTTATCAACGCGTCATTAAGCCAGCTCTGCAAGCTGATCAGGACTCTGAGAGCATCTGGAAAAACTCCAGGATTCTCAGAGACATGTTCCTGAGCGAGTCCAAGAACACTAGAGGCAACAGAGTGCCAGTCTACGCCCTACTTCACCGGTATGCGCTTGCCAACCTTGGAGAGGTCCTTTATGGCTCCAGCTTCGAAACATTGCAGAATGCAAGTGCCCCTCTACACACACTGCAAACGAAAATCAAGCCCATTATATTCCATCCAATATTCTTAAACTTTCCTTTCCTCGACCACCTACCATTGAAGATACGGAAGCTTGGTCGCGTTCTTAGCAGGCAGTTTCGCGGCACACTTCGTAGCGCCATAGCTAAAGGCCATACCCAGCATGTTTGCAACGAGAACGACAACAGAAATGTCGCCTGCAGGCTACTTGGTTCTCATCGCGAAGGCATCCTCAGTGACAAAGATCTTGACGATAACTTGGTCAGCACCTTTCTCGCAGGGCACGAAAACCCCCAGCTAGCTCTCATGTCGCTCATGTACCTCCTCGGCAAACACACCCACGTTCAAGACGCTGTCCGCAAAGAAATCGCCGCTCTCTACCCAAGCAATGCGCCTGCAGACTACGAGCCTGACTACTCCGACATCCACGATCTTCCCCTACTTACATCAGTGCTGTACGAATCTCTACGCATGTTCCCGCCTATTTCGCAGCTTATCAATCGCCGCACCACGACCCCCGTCGTTCTGGGCAACACAGTCCCCGTTCCTGCTGGTGTATACATGGGATACAACGCATACTCTACAAATCGAGACACGGAGTTTTGGGGCACTGATGCAGATGACTTTAAGCCAGAGCGTTGGGGTACTACAAACGAGGATATCAACAAATTGTATCGCCGTGCGAACTCCAAGAGCGCTTTCATTAGCTTTCACGGTGGAAGGAGAGCGTGCTTGGGACAGAAGTTTGCTATGCAGCAGTTGAGGATTACACTGGTGCAGCTGGTGAGAGATGTGAAGTGGAAGTTGGACGAGACTTGGGATGGGAGGATGACGCCTGCGGGGCCGTTGTACCCACGGGGGTTGAAACTAAAGTTTGAGAGTGTGCATCAGGTATCAGAGAAGGCGTGAGATGGATTTGCATAGTGCTTGGAGTTTATTCAAAGAATTCGAATTATATGGTCCATAAAATACGGTCTCAATTCATTATCACCTGCTTCTACTTGAAATGTATTGTTTGTTTGGTCTAGTTACTCCCTTGTCATAAAGACTAGCTTGAGCCATCAGCCTACGAGCAGCCTACGAGCAACCTACAAGCAGACAAGGATTGCGCATAGCCAACATAACATGCAAAGTAATCCAGATACAGCAAAACCCTAGGCAAATTCGACAAAACGAATTGGGTCACATTCGGCCCGTTGCGAATCCTTCCAGGGATTTCAAGTTGGGACGCCGATTACTGTGGAGTTTGTTGACAAACGTCTGTTAATACCCAAGAGAAAAGTGGGAATCAAAGTAAGCAAGTGCAATTTCGGCACAACAAGATGGAATTGTAGGAGCTCCAACCAACGTGGCCGCCTAACGTCAGGCGTACCACCTGCGCACGTGACGTGCTTACGACCTAATTCCCCCGAGACTGTTTACTGCTTCAATGACATGAATAGGAGGAATCAAAGGGGCAGCAAAATTTTTGTGACTATACTTTGGAATGTTGAAAAGCTCGGGCAAAGGAGGGGTCACCGGATCGCACATTTCTATGACAGTTGCTATGGAAGTTAGCAGTGTCAGCGCTCGTACGCTCGCGAGATTGGTCCAGACTGCAAAGATTGTATACACGATAACACTGGAAGTCTGCATGGCGGTGATATCGGTCGACTTTCCGAGTGGTGGAGGAGATGTTAATGGGAAGGATCTGCAAATGTATGCTGCTGACACACGCATACGCCCTTTACCTGAAGACAGACAGAAAGACGCGCTGAACCAGTAACATATGGAAGAGCAGCCCAAGTTTGTAGTCGCTGTAGGTGTACATCTATTGACCCCTCACTACAAACCAATCTCAGGAGTCGGACTTTACGCGACGCGATAAACTGCAAGTTCCTTTTTTTCGCGTTAACGAACAAGGCCAAAAGTAAAGAAGAGCGGTTGCCGAGCATTCAGGCCGCCACTGAGATTTTGCATGATGGCTTGCTGAACCTTCTCAGCTGTTAGCCATTGGCGCGTCCGTATCGAAGCACTATTGCGCTCGTCTGCTGCAGACTGACGACTTATCTGGGCCACTGGGTTTGACCACGCCATAGTGCAGCTTTGTGAGTCGATAAGAATCTCATCTTGTGACATGTCATAACCGCTTATCCCAGTCGTATCAACTCTTATGCACATGCATGCGCCATGTTGTCTGGCCAGGCGGGCCCATGCCGCTATGTTTGGTTTCTATGCCAGGGCAGTGTGCCAGTATCTTGGTTATGTGGTCGATAGGATGGCACATGCTAGACCACGACCAAGAAGATGGTTGTGTATGTAACATCACATTGTAGTCTTGTGGAGCTGTATGCGAGGCGCAGTGTTGGTGCATGTTTACCAGTGATCCTTCCAGTCGGGGTGGGGCTAAGGAAGTTCAGCCTCACGTCGACCCCAGCCCCTCGGGTCGCCCGTGTCTGGCGCTAGGAAGACAATACACCTGTTTTGTTAGCTCTGCGGTATGTATCATACTCGCATGTCATCAAGTTGGAACAAAGCTTAACCAGGACCCCATGCAGAGATGGTAAACAGCACCACCGTGCTCAGCCAGCCACTCTTTCACAGTGTACAATGCCAAGTAAAGGTGAAAGAGAGTCCCATCCTTTCAGACGAAAACAATGCAGCCAGAGATTTCGATTATAGAGGGACACGCACGTAACTAGCTTGTGCGACCACCGACATCAAAAAGTAGCAGTGATCGTCGAACATCCCGTAGCAGACCATTGCCATGATTTTGGGGGCTGAGATGGCGGGTCGCCTAGCAGTGCAGCCAAAGATCACTTTGGTGATAGGGGGGCTCAACGCAGCCGAGACGAAAATACACGCTTTGAACAAGGTTACGGTTCCTAGCGAAGGAACCTGAAAGTGGGGCTATGGCAAAGGCCCACCTGAAGCACAACAAATGCGCCCAGAATAGGGCGTCGAGGTTGGCAGTGCTGCGTAGCGCAAAATGAACATGTAGGCTATTCCGAGTATGGGGGGCTATGCTGGGCATTTCAGCCAGACATATTACTGTCCCTGTATGCTCTCATCTAGGACATCATATCTCTGATACTGTCAGAGACATTAACACTGTTATATTTTCTCTCACCATGCGCTCGCCAATCGAGTTCGAAAAATCGCACCATTATGACCAGTGCCGTGACAGCATTGAAAGCGACAGATCCTCTTCGCGACACAGTGTCGACGAAGAAGCACAACAATCATTCGCAGATGACGTGCCTCTAGCACCCTGTCCACCACCTGCACAGCCCTACTCTGCGTTCTCACTTAATCGAAGACGGTTTATCCTGGGTGTTGTTACAGCGGCTGGCTTTTTTGGACCACTTTGCGGAGCAGTCTATCTGCCCTCACTCAGACTCTTTCAGAAGATCTTCAACGCTTCTGAAGCCGCAATCAATGGAACGGTCTCGATATACATGGTTGTGTTTGCCGTCGCAGTAAGTGCCCCAAGACAGTCTTCTTAACACGTTGCTAATTTCAATTAGCCTCTCTTTGGTGCAGCGGCTTCCGATGTTGGTGGCAGAAAGACGGTATACATGGTCGGTCTCGGAAGCTTTCTCATCGCCAACTCATTACTCGCTACGCTTCCAGCTTACATCTGGTTACTATACATTCTCCGCATCTTCCAAGCATTCGGATCATGTATTGTCTTTTCTGTTGGAGCTGGTACCGTAGCCGACATTACTGAGCCTGCAAGCCGTGCGTCCGCTTTGGCTTGGTTTCTCATGGGACCTCAGCTTGGACCGATCCTGGGACCTCTGATCGGTGGTCAATTTGCGACGGAGTCACGGTGGAGATGGGTGTTTGCCTTCCTCTCGATCACAAGCTTCCCGGTGTATCTCGCCATCGTCTTCTGCATGCCAGAAACCCTGCGTTCTCTAGTTGGAAACGGCGCCAGTGTTGCCAAACAACCCTGGATATCGATGCCAAAGCTGTGGACGAAGCCTTGCACCGACACGAATGTTCCCAAAGTTCCTCGACCCTCATTCCGCAAGTTCATGCGTCTCTTGAAGTACCCACCCCACCTGATTGTCTGCTTCAACGGGGCTTTTCAGTTTGCTGGTCTGTATGGCATGTACATTTCCTTTCCTACCATCTGGCAAGAAGGCTACAATTGGACGACTGCCGAGGTCGGCTACGCTTTCCTCTGCCCCGGCATCGCCATGTTCCTCGCTTCCATTGTTGTTGGACGACTTTCGGATTACATGCGGAAGAAGGCCATAGCCAACAGCCCAGACGGAAAAGTAGCGCCCGAACGACGAATTGCAATTCAGATTCCGGGATTCCTCTGTGCGGCTGCTGGAAAGTTGATGTTTGGTTGGTTTACGCTTAACCATCTACACCCAGCGTTAGCCCTCTGTGGCGCAGCGCTCGCGGCAGTTGGTGTCTCTATAGTTTTTGTAACGAGCACCTCGTTCCAAACCGAATGTGATCCTACTCAAACTGCCAGCTTGGTGGCACTGGGAGGCTTTCTCCGCAACGTAGCCGCAGCAATCTGCGCGGCCATTATGGGCGGCATTCTAGATGGAATGGGATGGGGATGGGCGTTCACTGGCCTGGGCATCATGGACCTGCTTTGCATCCCCGGTATTGTCCTCATTCTGGTTCGTGGGGCGAAGTGGCGTGAAGAATTGAAGCGCGGATAGCAGTAGGCTGTGATGTTTGCTGCGCGCTCAGGAGGACTGAGCAAAAGTTGATTTTCTGCAAAGCGAGGTGTTATTGGGTTTTTATTCTGTTGCTTTTACGATATGATAATGAACAAGGATGAAATTAAAGCCTGGTCGATGTGTACGGCCAAAAAGATTGGTATGCATCATAGTGACCCCACACGTCTCCGCTTGGTCGCTGCATACATATATAATAATATTACTGACAACAATTCCATTCAAGCCAGCACTTGGGAAGCAGCTCAGAAGTGTCGTAAAAGCCAGGACTGATTTGTGTCATGAGTCGGATAAGCTGAGCGACTGCGCTTTCCGCGAGGGAACAACCTCGGGAACCACGGAACCCGCTGGAAAGGGCGAATTCCGCGGGCTTGATTAACACCACCACGCCATTTGTCAGCAATGTTCGCACTCCAATTCACCCTCTATATGTATATAAAATTCAGCGCGCGCTGAAAACAATGACATCGCTCCAGCAACGGCATACTGCCTCTTTCACAACTTCACAGTGGCGTTTCGAGCAAGTCTACGCAGCATGACCAACTTCCAGGTCAATATCGTCAGCGACACCGTGTGCCGTAAGTCTTTACTGTATCCACAACAAAATCCGAAACTAACCATCCGTTCATAGCATGGTGCTACGTAGGCAAGAAGCGCCTTGAAAAAGGCATTGCAGCTTACAAGGAGAAACACCCCGACTCCAACGACACCTTCTCCACATCCTGGTTCCCCTTCTACCTCAACCCAAGTGCCGGGAAGAGCATGAACAAGGAGCAAGTGTGGGCTTCCAAATTTGGAAAAGAGCGCACAATAATGATGAAAGAACGCCTAACGGAAGTCGGCAAAGCGGAAGGCATCAACTTTAAGTACGGCGGTAACACGGGAAACACACGTGACTCGCATCGCCTTGTGCAACTCGGGAAAACCAAGGGGCCTCAGGTCCAGACACGTGTGATTGAAGAGCTTTTTGCAGCGTACTTCGAGAACGAGAAGGACATCACGACCCATGAGGTGCTTACCGAGGTGGGCGTCAAGGCTGGACTCGACGAGAAAGAGGTCAAGGAGTGGCTGGAGTCAGGCAAAGGCGGACCAGAAGTAGACCGGGAGGTGGAGCAAGCCAGGCAGCAGCATATTACGGGCGTGCCAAACTTTACGATCAATGATCAGTATGAGGTTTCAGGGGCGCAGGATCCGGCTGCTTTTGTTCAACTTTTTGAACGCCTGAAGAAGCAGGAGGGCAGTCTTTGATGGCACTCAGGACTGTGTTTGAAGGTGAAGAGATGAAATGATATCCAATTTAATCGTTTGGTTTTGTGTACTCATGGGCTTACTCCACAAGTATCTGGCGAAAGATATTGCCAAATTTACATCGCAATTAAGTCCAGTGACAGTGTCATGGTTGGAGGAAGCGCTCGTTCTGAGGCCTCCTGGAGGAACCGGTGTATGACGGCAATGAAGTGGCAATTCTGAAGTATCTGGTTATCCTCCGCTACCTTCCGGCTGTGCCGTGGTCTTTTCCTTGCTCTTCATACCTACTGAACACATGATACCATGTATTCCGTGCGCTCCGTCGGATGAGGATCCAACAATGTTTGCGGTTTTTCAGTTGTCTTAATGTGGATATAAGTATTTAAATTTGCGAATACAGCCTCTCCAGTGTAATTGTAAATTAATCCAAACTACGATTCAGGAGTAGCTATTATATTTATTCCAAGAAATAGCATGATGTCGACTTTCCCATCGCACGTTAGTAGTTCACCGTACCCAGTGCTTAGCGTACTGCGGACAACATGTAACCGAACCTATCCCGGCTGCCACTAACCTGAAGCACTAGCATGGAGATCCTCCCTCCGTGCTCAAAACGGCTTCCCCGCATGGTATCACCTCAGAAACCATGCTCCGACGACTACTACCAACTGCGTATGCAGCATAGTGGATGGAACGGGATTTTACCCAATTGCTTTTCGGAAAATCTTTCTCCGCACATGATGTCAGTAGTGTATTGATGTGGGATTAGCCGCTGGCCCAACGGCCGGGGGTGCGGTTACACTACAGCCGATGTGGGTTTGTCGAGGAGAAGCGGTATAAAAGGTTCGGGTCAAGGTGCTTTGAGGTGCCTGGTCAAGTTCGTCTTCTTGTTTGTTGTACCTCGAGGTTCTCAACATGAAGGCTTCTTTGCAACTACTTTTGGCCTCGCTGGCTGCGGGGTCTGTGCTACCAAGGAATGAACAGACTTCTCATGAGTCGGCAATCGCAGACGACGATTTTGTTTATGTTGAGGGAACGAGGTTGTATAACAAAGACGGGCTTTACTATCTTACCGGTATGCTGACCCTCTTCCTTTTTTGACCAAGACAAATTTTCTAATATGAATCTAGGAATGAACTACTGGGCATGTATGAATCTTGCTGCAAGTGATTCTGCAGGCGGCAACTACTCGCGCCTTGTGACAGAACTGGATCAGATGGCCGCCCATGGAGTCAACCATCTGCGCATTATGGCAAGTTCAGAAGGTGCGCCGACACCACAGCCTTTCCGTATGAGTCCAGCTCTACAAGAGGCACCTGGCGAGTACAACGAAGAAATCTTCCAAGGTCTCGACATTTGCCTCGCGGAAATGTCGAAGCGCGGAATGCGTGCTACCATGACACTCAACAATCAGTGGCAATGGAGCGGCGGCTTTGCGCAGTATGTGTCATGGGCGAACAACAACACCAAGATCCCGTACCCTCCAAGCTGGAACCTGACGGCGTCGCCTCAGCGCGAGGTACCCGGCACAGGATGGGGAAATTATACTGAACAAGGTGTGGATGCAGCATCATACAACGAGTTTATTGCGTATGCCAATCTGATCTACAACAACACGCAAGCGGAGCAGTGGTACAAGGACCATATCAAAACAGTCATGAACCGGCGCAACACCGTCACTGGACTACTTTACACCGAAGACCCGGCAATCATGACATGGCAGCTTGCCAACGAGCCCCAGCCTTCCGACATCTTAGGATACACAGGGCCATATAGCCTTTTTAGCGTACCAAATCCCAATGACCTGCTATTCCCCTGGGTGGACCGCATATCCAGCTACATTCACTCCATATCACCTCGCCAACTCATCAGCGTAGGCCTCGAATCTAAGCAAGGCGAGTACTACTTCAAGCGCGTGCACGATTTCCCGACAGTATCTTACGCCACTACGCACTGCTGGGTGCAAAACTGGGGTATATACGACATGTATGGGGAAAGCGATGCAAATCTAGCTACCTCACAGCAGTTCGCACGTGACTTTATGAAGAACTCGAGCCGCTGGGCGCTGGATATCGGCAAGCCTGTCTTCCTTGAGGAGTTTGGCATGGCGCGCGATAACTGGGTTAACAAGAACAAGGAGTACCCGTATTTAAGCAGTGTGCCGACAACGCACAAGGATGCGTATTTTACGACGATTATCGGGACGGTCATGGATGAGTTTAGGAATGGGGGTGCGTACGTGGGCACGTGTCCGTGGGCGTACAGCGGTCTTTATCGTCCGGAGACGCAACGGGCGAATGAGTTTGGCATGGTATGGGCGGGTGATCCGCCGCATGAAAGTCCAGGATGGTATGGTCTGTATGATGATGATCACGCCATGGATATTGTGAAGGCCCAGCAGGAGATGATTGCGCAGTGGATTGCTGAGAATGGGACTAGTCACTAGCATGGGTAGTGGTAGTTGAAAACTTAATGTCATGACTGTATTGTACAAGGCCCTAGATGTTCTTACAAGAAGCGTGCGGGATTGCTCTTCTTGAGCACAAGCGGATGCCGGTGGACACTGGGCATCAGGCCCAAACCGACTGCTCTCCGTATCGCTTTTGCAATCTTTCTTTGGTTTTTTGGTCGTAGCCCGGTGTCCCTCGAGTGCTTTATGCGGCCCATCTCGGTCATGTACTCGGACATAATGGTAAAGTTCTGCTCGTCTAGTCGTTAGCTATTTGTGACCTCAATTCTGTCCATATCCCTAACGCACCTTGTACTCCAAGACGGGATTGACACCAAGGATGTCGAAAGCGTCCTCCTGTGGCCTCTTGCGGCCCTGCTTCCACTTCTTCTGCTCAGTTCCGCTCAGGTCATGTGGTGCATACACATCGCCAGGCTGCCACTTGCGGTATATTTGGCGCTGGTACTGGGAGAGGCGCTCTGACTCGGCCAGTTCACGGTTCGGGCTTGAGGCTGCGCGGTCGAGGCCTACATTGCGGGCAAAGCGTAGGGCGGAAGACTCTCCCGGACGCGAATTGGCTGTGTTGTTGGTTGAGGAGATGTTGGAGGGATGGCGGGCGGCTGCGCTCTGGCCGAGAATGCTCATGAGGTCGTCTGGGCGGTGTGTGTTAGAGAGAATACGGTGGTGAAGGAATTGAGGGCGCACCTTGCTTCTGCGGGCCCGACGAAAAGCAGCGCATGCCCGTCCTCGCAGCCGCCAGCGTTGGCCGCAATGATATCCGCATCACAGACATGTTGGTGGGCGCTTCTGCTGTCGCCGTGTCGCTATCGTTGTCGTCGTAGTGACTTTTCGATATGTGACCCTCGTCGGCGGTCGGAGGTTTGCTTTCTTAGCGTTGTATGATTTCACCACACTATAGACTCGCCGCCGCCATCATCCCCTCGCCCCCCGCCTACTCTTCGCGCCCACCATCGCAACGTCTTTTTCGTGTGTATATATATTCCACCCGTGTCCTCTGCTGGCCCCATGGAGATTTTACCTACCTAATCGCCACCATGCCTTCTCAATTGACCCGCGTCGTCTTCCGCAATCTCATCGCAAACGAGCCTCTGCTATATCGAGGATGTCGCCATCGCCCTCTTCGCCCCCGTACAGCCACTCAGCATGCCACCCGATCGATAGCCTACACCCAGCGCCGCTCTTTCTTTGGCAACCTCTTCAAGCAACAGAGGAAACTGAAGCCTGCCGAGCTGCCCGCCGGTCTCGAGAAGCTGACTGAGGTGGCATTCGCAAAAGAGAATGCCATTCGTCCGCCCAAACCCGCCGAAGTCGCCCAGGCGATCCGTGACTTTTTCGCCTTGTACAAAGGAAAATTCGAAGACTTCCATGTGGCGAGCGCCCACTACGCGCTTCAGTATCTGAAGGAAACACCACAGGACGATGGGCAGCCCTGGCTCACTAGGAAAGACATGCAGGCAATTCTTGATCAGCTTCTGGAAAAGCGACCGAATGTGGTTGAAAAGTGGCATCTTCCATTTGGCCAGATGCTCATTGACGAGCTTAAAAAATCCACTCAAGGCGACCAAGACAAGAACGACAATGCAAGCCGAAAAGACCTCGATATTCCGTTCGACGTGTACATTAAGCTTTCCCAAGTCCGCCTAATGTCCTTTTTTGGCGCTCCTACCAAGGCGAGAAAGGTTGCGGCCAGCGCCTTTGTTTACGACTCTAATGCACCTGCTCCTGTACGACTAGCTTCTCTCCATGCATGGCAGACCGTACTTGAGAGTATCCTGGGTGAAAATGACGCAGACCAAATAGCAAGGACTGTAAATATGCTACAGGACCTGTCTATTCCCTTGACCCGCCCATTACAACGCATGCTGGTCTCACATTATGCAGCGAAAGGCGATCTCGAAAAGGCCAAATCATGGTACTCCCGACCTGTTTTTTCCGAACTAGGTCATCCTGTGACCCCCTCGGGAAAGGCAAGCTCTGCACTGCTTAGGGTTTGCGCCTCAAAAGGCGATCTGACTTTTGGTCAGGAGGTCGTAGCCACCCTGCTCAAAGACGCCATGTCTACCAAAGAAGCTTGGGACGCTGTCTTTCTATGGTCGGTAGCTATCGGCAAAGGGCCCGACGAGATCAATCGTATGATTGACGTACTCATTCGTCGCAATGATGAGGCACGCCGCAAAGACCCTAGCATTCCCGTTATCCGCCCAGATGTCGAAACCATCAACACGCTAGTCGAACACTGCATGTCCAAGTCGGACCCTTACCTGGCTGAACGCTATATCGTTCTTGGTGAGAATCGTGGCATCATTCCTGATGAAACGACCTACACTATGCAGATAGCATATCGAATCTCTGTAGGAGACCTTGATGGAGCTAGGGCGGCCTACTTCAACCTTCAGGGCTGCTTCTCAGGCGCTGATCGCAGTGTTGCAGCCATCAATCAGCTGATACAGGCCCTCTGTGTATCAAACCAAAACCACTTTGACGAGTTGATGGCCATGGTAGACGACCTACACGAGCGCAAGGCCAACTTTGCCCCCGAAACTGTCGCGGCCGTGACCCTCCTGCATCTCCGGAGGGGCGAGATCCCAGATGCGATGGACCTACTGCAAGTACATGCACATCAGTATGCACCAGATCAGCGAAAGATTATCCGAAATGCGCTTTCAGTCTTTATACTGGACGGCGAGACTAGCACAGCGGATGCTTGGGATGGCTATCAGATCCTACGTAATGTCTTTGCCGAAACGCCCCGCGAAGACCGGATACCTATTATGAACAACTTCTTTGCTAGGAATCGTTCCGACATGGCTTGTCACGTCTTCTTCCACATGCGCAATCATATCAGCCCAACCCACACGGCGACTAAAGAAGTCTACGTCGCCGCCTTTACCGGCTTCGCTCGTTGCGCGGATGCCGAGTCGCTAGAACTCGCAAACAACCAGCTGAAGCTAGATCTCCATGTGGACATGGATACCAAGCTGCGCAACTCCCTGATGCTCGCCTATGCCGCAACAGGAGAGAACCGCAAGGCGCTGCGGTACTGGGGGGAGATTTGTGAATCAAAAGAGGGACCTTCGTATAACAGCATCCTCATCGCCTTTCGAGCGTGCGAGGGAATGCATCTTGGATCTGAGCATGCCAGGTCCATCTGGACACGCTTGAAAGAGCAGGATATCGACATTGACAAGGCTATTTGGACCGCCTACATGTGCGCCATTGCACGAAATCATAACCACGACGAGGCCTTGGCGCTTATAGAGACAGTCGAGGAGGAGTATGGCTTTAAGCTGGATTTGCAAATGTATGTCTGCACTCAACAGCCTTATCCTATCTCTTCTTCATTATCAGTAATGCTAATTCTTTCCACAGACTGGGTAGCTGGTTCAGCTGCACTGCCAACAATGAAAAGCAAACACGTGTCGAGGCCTGGATCAAGAAGCGATATCCACAAATCTGGGACGAACTGGAAGCTCTGGGCCACTGGGTCACCATGGATGGATTCGGTTATCGACAGTACAACATTAATCGCGATCTCGACCCATAAAAATATTTTCACCAGAAGGAAACGAGATGATTATGTATAAAATCAAAAGTCATATCTGCGATTAACGATGTTGGTGTCAACGAAGATATGATTGTGTATAGTATTGCATTATATTACTAATGCCTAGCAGTAGCATTATGTACCTGTATATCCCCATTCTTGTGTCTTTGTAACTATGCGTGATTATCGTGATTAAATGAGGTTTTTTTTCTTCTCGTCAACGCAATCGAATTCTCGCTAGAGACAAGGAAGATTGCAAATGAAATAGTAGGTGGGAATCATGAGAGGAAGAAGAAAAGAAAGAGAAAAAAAAACCAGTCCTTCCTGGCAAAAAAAAAAGGCTTTAATCACGATTGATAACCCGCAGACTTCTTCTTGGGTTCAGCAGCACACCTCGTGCACCCCAGAACGTCGGTTCATGAACATCCAAAAGCCCATCAATAACACTTCCCTCGCTATTTCGTCGTCCCCATTCAGCCCCAGGGCCCCCATAAGCCGTACCATCACCGCTATTTCTCCTGGCAATGTCAAAAGAGCCTGCAGCCACGCCGCCACTGCTGCTTCCGCCCGCAGTACCAGTGTTACGCTCGGAACTGAGTTTGCCAGACGACGAAGTGTATGTGCCGTGTTTCTCGGCCGTAGCATTTGCGCGCGTCTGCATGGCGGCAGCGTGCTTCTTCCAGATTTGGACTTGGCGGCGGTAGATCCATGCGCAAAAGCCAAAGTAGGCGGCTACGACGAAAAAGACGCCTGCGATAACGCCGGCGATGATGGCGCCGATGTTAGGGCCGTCGCGGGATGAGGAAGATGGGTTTCCGGTGATTACGTTGGTGATGGTTGCGCCGTCGGGGCCGGTGACTGTGTAGGTTTGCGGCTTGCCTGTCGCAAGGGGGCCTTGGGTGGGTGTTTGACGGGGCGCAGTAAGTGTTGCACCACCAGTGGGACCACCCCCGATAACCTGTCGTACTGGCTCAGGAACGGCATAGCCATAGGATCCCTCGACTCCAGCATCGACACCAAAACCTCGCTGGTTGATTTGCTGGGCAAGCGGATTACCCGTGCTGCCCTTGTCGTCCTTGTTGTACCTTTGCAGCGCATTTTTTGCTGTCACGGCGGTGAATTGATCGCTCCAGCTAAGACTGCTCATGTTGAAGACGTAGATTCCGGGCGTATCGCAGCCAAGGTTCGTGTTGTAACCTCCAAGAACAATCATTTGTCCATCCCATGCATGACACAAATGTCCGGCACGAGGTGGGGGGATACTCGCTTTTTCGGTACCCTGATCAACTTCAATCCAGGTAAACGACGGAACGGATAGAATCCACATGTCGTCTCGCTGCTTCTGGTTGCCGGGTGGTGTTAGGTCCTGGCCAGCAAACATGTATATGTTGTAAGACGAGCCGCTAAAAACCAACATTAGCGCACACAGTCCAAAGTCCGATCAGCGTATACGGCCGAGAAAAATCAACTCACTCTGCAGCAGCCGCAACAACAGTACAGGGGTTGACACGGTACTCTGGTGTCTTTCCCGAAGTGCTTTGCTTGTACCATGTCGATGTCGCGATATCGTAGACGTCGATAGTGTTCATTTGCGTCTACACATTGTCAGAATCTTGAGTAAGCATATCGTTGTACGATTGAACTTACAAAAGTAGCATTGTCACCACCAGTAACACCAATCAACAAACCTTCCTTGCCGAAACCGGGAACATAGACAAGGGCACTATCAGCGCGCTCAGGGAAGGATGCTGTGTTTTGCAGTCCACCATAAGTGACGTTGCGGAACACGCCGTCAGATCCAGCAGTCTTGCCATCACCCAAAGATTCGACATTATCATTACTGCGTCCAGGGAATGTAAACTCCAACAGACTCTTCAAGTAAACCCTTGCGACCTGATTACTCCATCCCTCAGTCGTGAGAAAGTCTAGGTGGCCAGCAAAGTAGAATCCTCTGCCAAGTGTACTGACGGTGAGACCAGCGCCTTCAGCAACGCGCTGCACCGATTGTCCAGCATCTTCTGATTTATCACCAGCAGATGTCTTTGGGTCTGGATGTTCGATCCATTGCTGGCTTCCAATGTTGTACTCCCATACCGAGTTGTTTCCTGCCTGGACTATAGGGGTATCGGAAAATTGGCCACCATAGAGCCAAAGCGAATCGAAAGATGACCAAAGCTGACCAAGCGATACAGCAGGTGGTCCGTTGGGCTTGGGAAGGCCTTTGAGAGCAGGCGAACTAATCTGCCAGGACTCGGTAAGGTCAAGAGTAAGGAAATCGTTATCTGTTGAGAGTTAGCACTGAGCCCACGGAACGAGTAGGTTATGGATAGAATGAAGCGAACATACTCCACGTGTTGTCCTTTTGTTGAGCCTCGGTGGTCCTGCGGAAACCATACATGTATAGTGTGCCATTGACAATAGCACTCTGGCCGCTCCACCGCCTACACGCATCAGTAGGACTATCTTCTCGCCTCATTAGAGATGAATATTGGACATTGGCTTCAACCCAGTTTACGGGGACAGCGCCAGCTCTTACACCAATGTGCTTGAGTGGGTTGAGCTGCATGATCGGTAGCATTAAGGCTAGTAAAAGACTCAATAGTCCTAATCGATAGAGTCTCGTGGGCATGACTGATTGTGTTGTGGTATCCTTCATGGAAGCCACGGAGTCGTTGGTCTCGTCTTCATCATAGACTGATTCCCACTCATCCTTGTCGTCGTCCGAGTTTTGTCCTCTTTCATCGAAAATATCGTTCTGACTTCTAAATCGCAACACCTTGACTGGTCGTAACCTCTTCAAAGCCTCACCATGTGCGCGCACCGGACTCCGCTCTTCCCGGATTTTCTGCTCGTCCACCAGGCCAACCTCTGTAAAAACAGACATTCGATAAGAGTCTGGCTGAGGCGCTGGTCGTGGTCGTACTCGCTCCATGGCTATGAATTTGTGTGGAAGCGAGAAGGCGGTAGAAGGGTCGCAATGAGCAGGCGATATAGCGAGAACGGTAACCAGACAATCGATGTTCCAAAGGGCGCGAGTAGAGCGACTAGGCGGTAACTAAAAAAAAATCGGGGGTTGTGTCGTGTGAGGCAAGTGGGAGCGGGTAAGTGATTCGAAAAATGACGTCTTTAGTTCAGGAACCAAGGTTGGCACCCTTGACCTTTCAAACGAGTGAGGAGAGGGACCAGCCGTTGGAGTGATCGTCCCGGAACGGTGAGTGGTTGAGGGGGTGTGGCAAGCGACCTCGAAGGAAGGAAGGAAGCGAGCGCTGATTTGTCTAAAGCGGGTGTCGTCAAGCAGCGGTAATGACGATGTGCAAGCGAGAGTAGTAGTAGTAGTGGTAGCAGCAGGGCGAGGCGAAGGTGACACGCAACCTAGGCGGGGATAAGTAGCGAGCGGCAGATTACAATACGTATGAAGGATCAAATGCAGCAGTAGGGCGATGCAGGGGAATGGAGAAGCGCCGCCGGGTGTGGGGGAGTGAAAGTGGGCGGTGGCAGCAGTAGTAGTGGTGGTGGTATTGGTAGCACAGACACAGGTGGAACAAGGCCAGGCTCTTGTATACATACGACGACAATGACACACCGACTCGGACTGGGACTATGCACATGCTCGTGCTCGTGCTCGTGCTCGCAACGAGATGGCAGTGCCACGGCTGACTGGCGTGCGACGAGGGCACGTCATGGAGGGGACCGGGATAGGCAATGATCGATATAGAATGGCGAATGGCTTGCAACGGCCAAATCGGGCGTTTCAACGGCCAAGTCGGCGGCGCATTGGTCACGTCGGGCGAGGCTGGCACTGCAACAGCGTGACATGTGCCAAGCGAAGACCGACTGCCCGCGCGTCCCATTCACGACACTGTCGAGCCATCTTCACTTGGCGGTAGGTGTACAAGTAGACCAGAGTGTAGTGGAATACAGTCAGCCCTTCATTTGCTTTTCACCCTCTCTCCATTTCATCCCTCGCCCTCAGTCCGCAACATCCGTTGTGTTTTGCATACACACATTCCACTCTGGCAACCCTGCTCGTTCCCGATCCTTCCGCTTCCATACTAACAAGTCCCAAATACACGCCTGTCCGCACATCCATGCCTACACCCTCACCCCCATGCTCACGCTCACAACCATTTCAATAGCCTGTGCAGCCTGCAGCCAATAGCATCCAATAAACAATAAAAGCCTCTAGGTGGAGCTACCGCTTCGTGACCCTTGAAAAAAAAGGGTTCCATCTTTAAATCTATTTTTGCCACCACTAAGCCCACGGCGGTCCTCACTCGGCTGGTCATGGCTATGCTCTAAGTACATACACCTACTGCTACGCCAGCCAGCCCTGTTGCAGTAAGTCTGTAGATACTAGAGGGTGTGTATTGCGCGTGATGCAAGTTACACATGTACAACTCCAAGGCGCCGCCCTTTTCTAGTACCCGTGTGCATGCCCGAGTGCGTCTTCACTCGGCGGCCTAACGTTACAGTTCGGGTGCCAAGGGCAAGGTGGCATATTGGCTTCGATTACGGGACTACCATGTGCGCGAAAAGGGCCCAAGCAGGTATCGCCGGATGCGGGAGCGACCACCCAGGAATAACCCCACTTATCATCCCCCATGCTCCAGACAGAGTTCTACCCGACTACACCAAAGCCTTTATTCGCTTTCATTCAATATCCCCCCCCTTCCTCACGCGGCTTGGTAGTGCTCCTCAAGCTCAGCACCATGCTCTTCGCTTATGAAATCCATGACATCGTCAATCGTCCCTGGAAAGTCATCTGCGTCCACTTCACGCCCACGCTCGCCAATCACCCGAATCAGCCCATGTAGCGCTGCCTTGAGTGTCTCCGTCGACCAAGGGTACCCTTGGTCTTTGCGCACATCTTCCCAGTCAATCTCTTCTTCATAATCGTCCCTGCGATCCTGAAGCTTGAAGATGAGATCGTACTTGTCGCCCCACAGCATCTGATCTACACCACCCGGTCCGGCCGACGGCTCAGACACGTCCTCCGCCTCCTCGCCCGACAAAGCCGCCGACTCAACCACCGATTCGTCTCTAGCTTCGGCTGAGCCCTGCTCACTGACTTGTGCTTCACCATCGCTCTCTTCGTCTGCTTCAGTTTGCTCCTGCTCCTGCTCCTGCACTTGCTCTTGCACTTGCTCTTCCGGCTCCTCCTCTACTTGTTCCCCCTGCTCCTCTTGCACTTGCGCTTCTTCAGCTTCATCCTGTTGGCTTCCATGTTCATCTTCTTCACAACTCGCACCTACATCCTCCTTCTCTCTTTGACCTTCCTCGGCCTCGTCAACTTCCTCAATCTCGCTTTTTCGCGATCGTTTCTTCTTCTTCTTCTTCCTCTTCTCCTTTTCCTTCTTCTTTTTCTTAGAATGTGAATCGCTTACCTCGCCACTGACATGCTCTTCTTCTGCCTCCCTGTCTGCTGACGCATCCCTCACCATGCTTGGTTCGTCAACTTCCTTAGGCTTATCAGCTTCCGTCGCTTCGCTCTCCCGTGTTCGTCCACGTTTCTCTTTCTCCGGTGGCGGCGAAAAAGCTGATCTCTTGTCCGCACCCAGATCCTCTTCCGGTTTCCGGTCTTGAGATTCATCAGACAATTCCTCGGGCTGACCACGCTTCTTACTCGTTGTAATGCTTGTCGCAAGTTCTGGTCTGTCTTCGGCCTCCTCGGGGGTTTCTCTTTCCTCCACGTCCGAGTCGACTATAATGTCTTGCGATCTGTACGCATTCTTATCCGCTGCGTCCTGTTTTCGACTCTGTCTGCGTTTCTTCTTAGTAGGCGCATCAGTCAACGCTGCGGTTGATGCTCTAGGCTTATACTCTATCTCAATCTGCGGTGGATTATCACGCTTCATCAATTGAGTCCATTTGACCGAGGCCTGAATGCGGCTGCGAGAGTTACCCATTTCGCGAGCAACTTGAGGCCAGCTAATGTGTTTGTTGGTATATGTGTCCAATGGTGGCCTTCCTGTCTCGGCGCGGTGATCTTCATCTCTTTGCGCAACCGTCGTCACAGCACGGATGAGAAGGTTCTCTTCGTCTTCAGTCCAGCGAGAAGTCTTTCGTTGTTCGCCGTACTGTAAGTAGTCGCGCCATCGGTTCACGCAGTCGTGCATCGAACGGTCGCCCATGGTAATAGAGATGAGCTTCCATTGGTTTGGATGCGCAGCCTGAAGATTTCGAAGTTGCTGATCCTCCTCTTCTGTCCATGCACCACTCTTGAATTGGTGATATAATTGACGGATATGCCTCCTCAATCTGTCATGTGACCGAGTCATTCCAATGCTCTTGATTTCGTCCCAGAATTCCGTGCTCTCTCGTTCATCCTCGCGGTCCTGGGGTGTCCAATCACTCTTGTTCCGGTTAACTCCTGGATCGCGGTGAAACCTGGGGTCATACTGGTTCCATTGGATAATCTCAACAAGTTCAGAAACGTCCAATCCTTTTCGCTGTTGGAAATCTATAATGGCTCGGCGAATTAACTCTTCTTCGTCCTCGGTGAAGTCGCCATTCGTTCGCAGATCCGGAGGATGGCCAAGGTCACGAGAGGCATTGAGTGCCCTTTCAGCAGACGAAAGTTCACTGATACTGCTGCCATTGTTTCTGCGAATTTTCATCACACTTGGGCCGGCTACACTTTCCTCTTTCTGCTTTTTCTTCCGCCCTCTCTTCTTCTTCTCCTTCCTCTCCTTCTCTTTCTCCAGCCCCTTTTCCTTGCTTTTCTTCTTTTGTGCATTTTCATTTCCCTCCTCTTCAGCTGGAACATATGGGGGGTCCTCGTCATCGGTAGATATGGGATCTTGCATCAATATATCATCGTCTTGTTTGTTGTTGAGTAATGCATTCGGTAGTTGGCCGGGTTGGCGCACCGAGGCATGCCAGTCGTAGACATCGCCATTGGTTGTTGTCTTCTTTTTCTTTTCACTACGCTTCTTGCGAGTCGAAGCTACTTGTACCTGATCACCTTCTTCTCCATTTCCAGACTGCCCAAATCCATTATTCGCAGATGACGCAAGAGCTACACCAGCCCCGTTGGTAGGCTCTGTTTCACCATCTGGGATATCATAGATATCCTTGATCTTTGTAATAGGCGTATGTGGCTTCTTTACTCGCTTCAGTTTCGTCTTTTTGGTTTGCTGCATATCGGCATCATCATTGGGGCTTGATTGTATGAGATCTTGGAGGGTAGTTGCCGACTTGGGTGTACCAATCTTCCGCCTTTTAGCTGGTGCAGGCGTTGCATCTACAGCTCCTGGCGATCCTCCATCTGTATCCCTGGTTCGTGGACGTTTGCGCTGAGGAGTCGTGTGCGAAGGGGAGATTGGGTCTTCTGTGCCTGTGTTCGTGTCTGCGAGTTGTTCCACAGTCTCGCCGAAAATCGTATCCTGAGCAATCTCATCTCTCTTCAATTGCCTGTGCTTCTTGTACGTGCGCTTGGTCTTCGTGACACTGGAAGGCACCGTGTAGCTCGATTTCGGCGGCGAAGCGGGTGCGCGGACGGGAATAGCAGCGACCTGAGAATCAGGCACGTCAATTACAGGCCAGGCTTGTGATGTACTCGGCACCATCTGAAGGCTTCCCGACACTGGGCCGGTGATCTCTTCAGCTTCTGGCTGGGTTGCTGGGAAGGGAAATGGCGAGGATGATGGAATTGCGGGTGGGCTAGCAGCATCTCGCGTGTTCGCAAATGAGGCCTCGGGGGCTTTCTGCGTCGCCTTCAATTTGGTCTTCTTGCGCTTTTTCCGCGCAGATGCGGGCTTGTCGTGAGCGGCGTCGGACTGCGGAAGCTGTTGAGTGGCATCATACGTGGGGTGGGCGCGCGCGCCCTCGTCCATGAGTTGCTGAGATGCGGCTACGTCATCCATGTCTGGGCCTATACATTGAATGCATTAGGCGCGTGTTTATAGAAAAAATACATCAAGCTAAGTAGACATGATCTCTTCACGCGTAAGATTCGTGTACTCACTAGCAAAGCGGGACATGGGCTCTGGGCTACTAGGGGAAGGTCCGGCACCGGCGTTGACATCGCGGCTTGAGGTAGGGACAGGTTGTGAGGAAGAAATACCCATCTTTTGCCGCAAGTCGTTGAAGATGGCATATCCAGGCCCGGTCGTCACTATCGGAGCCATGGGTATATTTCCAAAGTCGCGGCTTTGCGATAATGTTCAACTTGGGCAAAGCGCGTCGTGAGACTTTTTGGACGTTCCTGGCTAGTACGCATGGGGCTAGCCAGCTCATGCTTCACCAATCACTACGCTAATCCTGGCTATGTACAGGTCATCGACACCTTCATACCCTGTTCACACTTCACCCTCGCTTTCCCATTAACTAAATGCGATCCAGGTCCAAAACCACACCCCTTCTAACAGTAGCACCAGCATACCAATGCCCACCCCATTCCCCATATGCTTACTTGACTGCTCCCCTGCATCTCCCTTCATCCCCATCTTGTTAAAACTCATAAAAATCCACACTAACGCTGCTGTAATACAGCCAAGCAGACACAGTGCGAGTGCCATCAGAATTCGAAATTTGCATGGCGTGTGCAGGAATTCGAGTATTGTAATCGTCGGCGGTGGAAGTCGGCTTGAATCCCTCACATATGGATCAGTCTGCACACGGGAGTTTGATGCTGCGACCCGCCTCACCCAGTGAACCCACATATATCTTTCTTGCCCCATCTGTGGCTTTTTCAGTAGTTTCATCAAGCCTTCTTCTGCCAGCGGATGTCTGATTTCTTCAGAGGTGCAGATCCCATCTCCTACTGCTAGCAACTCTTCTGTAGTCGTCGGAGTCTGAGTACCGCTCCATACACTGGTTTGATTGAGGCGTACGGCACACAGCCTGTGAGCGCGGAATATTTTGAGGAACCAAGATCCAGCTAGCTTACGGTGGCCAGCTTGGAGGTCTTCTGCAAAACGCTTGTCGTCGAATGATGTTGCTTCCCCCATCAGCATTCGTGGCTTCTCGGGGTAGCTGGAGTTATGTGGTGAAGACACGTTCGGCACGACGAAGCGAACCATTTTTCTCCTCCTTCCATCACCATCGTTCTTCATCCGGCCGTACTTTCGCAAGCTTAACCAGATCACACTTTCAGCACTAGCGCTCCCGAACTCAATATTGCTCCCCGTCAGCCCCTGTGATCTTATATTCCTTTCAAGCCCGCTTCTTTGCAAAAGTTCCTCCTCGCTGGCAACAAGGCCAAGGATACATTTGCTTTTGCAATCACCAAACGTCTTATGGGCCTCTCTGTTAAGATGAATATTATTTAGCTTTGCGTATTCCTCTACCCCCCGATTGTCGACACTAGGGTAAGAACAGCTCCGTCGAGTATGCGGCTTGAATTTTCTATGCTTCTTCTTAGCCGTGAAGGGATGCTGTGTCTCAGAAAAACGAGATGGTACATAAACCAGGCGATCGCCGTTGGTCGACAGCAGAGATAACAACGTGGTGCGACAACTACTTGGGCAGGACGACGACCTTGGAAATTCGGAAGTAGTAGCTGATTGTAGGTATGTGAATCCACGGGAAGCCACTGGCGAGAGATCGAGATTTCGTGGCTCGAGTACATGCATGGTTGCCATGTGGGCGTTGATGGTTGAGTCGGCTATCATATTCTCGGAAACAGTTCGTCTATGATAGTTTTGAGATGTCGGACTCAGTGGCAACAGAGTACAAGAGTCTTCTCTATCATTTGAGGTGATATGTAAACAAGATTTCCCCTTGTCTCCGTTTGAGGATACGCAGTCGAAATAGTTGCTCTTAATTGAATGCGTTGAGCTGTCGATACTTGGGCTATTCTGTATCAGGCGTACAGTATCTTTGTTTAGACGGAGTAGAGATATCCTCCTTGCTCTTTTTGGACCTCTCTCCTCGTTCTCAAAGAAACCCGCTACACACTCAACGTTCTTTTCGTCGTCTTTGATACCAGATTCTGGGCTGCGTATGGGAGCTTTTGCAGAGTTTGACAGTGATGCGATTGAATTTCTTTTCCTCCCTTCTCTTTGCTCTATCCAGTCCGTTCGGTCGAGTGTAAATGTTTGCATCATGTTTCTAAAGTTATCTTCCCAGTCTTGGTCGGATGAATTATCGGAGGAGACATCAGCCCCAAGTACCAACTCTCGGCTCACAACGTCGCTCATATCAAGACGTATAGAGTCTCACCACGCAGGAAAGGGGTCAACTACTTGTGGTGATGATGCTGGACTAGAAGAGAGTCTCGCTGACGGAAATTTGTGGGATATTGTCTGAATCACGTTTGGGTAACCATGCGACACCACTGGAGCCATTGGATCGTATTTGAAGCTTGAAAAGTGCGAAGGCGAGTGCCTAGCAACTGGAAATTGTGCAATTATTGGTTTCATACTTTTGTAACTAAACAAGTAGGTCAGCCATGTCTTTCACTTTCAACGCACAGAAACCTTATTCAGGAAATCCCTTCCAGTTGATCATCACTTGGCGACCTGTGCAAGACGTGGTGATGAGACGTACGATGAAAAAAAGGAAATAAGCACTGACGCAGAGCAAAGCAATAGTCGAGACACATCGGCGCATAACGGTAGCGGGTACTTTGCAGAGATCTGTAGGAAGTGTATCGAACAAAGGTCAGTCGCGCAAGCATACGAATATGAAATGAGTTATGATTGCGGCTGTGTCTGCGGCTGCGTTCTATTTGCCTCCCTTATTGGAGTCAGCACGTGCGTTGACCACACCAGAGGTAGAGGAGAGAGGTAGGAAACAGTGGTAGTGGATAATAATAGTTTTTATTGGAGACACGTAGAGAAGAATTCATCTAGAAACCCCCTTGCTCTATAGCTATGTGTTGCGGCGAATCTAAAAACGCCATTGCAATGCCACTAACGGGTTGAAATCAACAAAATATGACTATAATCGGAAAACAAAAGGTCTGTTGTAGAGAATTCATGCAGAAGTGCATGAGGGTTTTCATTCGACGTCTCGGTCAAACATCTTCGTCATTGCTTTCTGTGCCAGTTCTACGCCAGCAAATGTAGCCGCATTTGCAGGTACTGCTCGTGCCATGGCGGGCCCGATACCAGGGAAGAAAGCTTTAAGACCACCACTTGAGTGGATGCCTTTGATAGTTCCGCTGATTGTTGGTCGGCCTTCTGCACTCTGCAGGCGGGACTTGATGGTGTCAACTGGGAACACTGGTATCCACATGGCAATACCTGCAGCACCACCAGCGACCATCACGGCACCCATGCTCAATGAGCCAGGCTGCCCTGTAACTGGATCCTTTGGTGTGAGGTTGCGCTTGACAACTTCGTATGTCGCGAAATACAGAGCTGAGCCTGGTCCATCACGCGCCAGTGTCATGGCAGAACCACGGTAGACTGAGCGGATACCACCCTCCTTGTAGAGTTGTCGCACAACATCAAGACCGCCAGAGTATTTGGGCTTCTCACCAGGTGCCAACTGTTTTTGACCTTGAATCTGTAGAAGCACTTTCACGCGCTCAAAGGGTGCGGTGATGATTGTCATGGGGATTGCGCTGAAGAAGCCGGCGGCGGAGACCTGAGCGACGCTGTACTGGTTGTTCTCAACCTTCGAGACACTGGATACAAGCTGCTTGCCGAGATCGTAACCCCAAAAGGAGACGGCAACTGTTCAGCGTCAGCCTTGTTGTTTCAAGAACCATCCCTTGACCAGCTGGCTTTCTAGTACTTACACATTGGTGTAACACCGACAAGAGGCGCAGAAACACCCGCATATAGACCCCTAGCCACACCTTCCTTTGCTATTGTCTTCCTTACGACGTCCATAGCTCCGCTGTACACGCCCTTCTCTGCTGTTTGCATGCGCACCTTTACCAGGTCGAAGGGGTGTCCCACGATGACGGCGCAAACACCACCCACGCCTCCAGCTATCAGCGCTCGTAGCGACTGAAGCGAGGACTTGGTCGCCACCTTAACATCTTCTTTGAGCTCCGCTTTGGAGGGCAACTTCTCAATAACGGTGTCTGCGGTGCCTGACATGTTGGTAGGAGGCTTTGGTGGGGCGTTGTCAAATGGTCCGAGTGACGATGGCGCTTGTTAGAGGTGGCTTGAAGACGGAAAAAAATTGGCTCAAGCAAACTGTGAGCTATGCGATCGCTCCCACAGCAATTTGAGGAAAGAGGAATATGCACAGTGAGGGAGAAAGCGAATTTAATTGCAGCATGTGAGCAGTTCCAACACTACGTCGGAGCTGGGCCTACGTCGGTCCAGGGCTCGGCTGGCTATTTGGCGAGCCGAGGCAGATCGCGGCCGAACACCCGCAACCCATCTTGTGAGCATGAAGTGTCACCCACGTGAGTCAAGGGCGCTACTAGTACTGTGTATGGCTTTTTGATTTGAAAAACCCACGTTGATGGATATTGAGGCGTCAAAAAATGCTACCCCGCCCGCACGGACGTCATCGCCGCAGACATTGCTCCGGGCTAACGGGTGACGGCATGAGATATTCTGCATATGCACAAAAGAAATGTACGCGTTATTTCTCGCCCTACTAGGTCTGGTGTGACTACCTACGCACAGAGGCTCTGCTGAGCGTCTCATACTAGCCTGCTGACCGTTTCAAATTCGGTGGCATGTGAAAGTTTGGTCACCAGTACTACGACTATACTCAACTAGATATTACAGGTGCTTGGAAGTACTTGGACCGTTTCTTGGTCCCCGACCATTCCTTTAGCGCGATTAGCCAGCCTCTTCATCTTCTTTGTTTCACATTCCAGTGTTAATTAGGACTGTGCGGTACTGTCGTTCATTTATCAATCCTTCCTCGCCCTTATGCATATTCACATTTACTACTCACACCGAGCTAACATGGTAACTGAGTCCATGTATTAGTCGAACGTAGTTTGACAGTCTCAGCAGCACCCTGCCTTCTTTGCTTGTTATAAGCAAGGAATATGGTAAGTATCAAAACAGGAAGATTCTTGTTACGATCAGATGGCTCATAAATATCTGGAGTGGAATGAAAGGTTGCAACGGAAAGTAGTTCACTACCAGAATCACCAAGTTCGAGCTAACTTTATACACGAACCCCGCATATGCATCTCTCTACAGACAGCATACTTGTTAGCCCCACTACAGAGTTCCACATTTCTCATCCACAATCTGAAAAACATTAATACATGTGTTACCTATCCACTTCATTATTAACAGCTAGTTTTTTCAGTATATATTTATTTTGCAATTTCAAATTTCTCCATCGATTGACACAATCACGCAGGCACTTTGGCGGAGTGGTTAACGCGCTGGCCTGCTAGTCCTCTGTATTGAGGGAAGTTAGCCAGTTCCTTCGGGAGCGTGTGTTCGAATCACACAGGTGTCGGTCTCAGGCGTTGTGGCGGAGTGGTTATCGCGCAAGACTAGAAATCTTGTTCCTTCGGGAGCGTCAGTTCGAATCTGGCCAACGTCGTCTTTTTTGCTATACCTTTTTGCTGGTTCTAATTTCAAGCCTTACTCTATTTGATGCATGTGTATAGTGTTCATTTTTGCTTATGTTGTGGTACAGTGAATCTATATCCAGCTTTGAGCTGGCCCTTTGTAGCATCATCACTGCTGAGCATCTAACACAGTAGTACGTAGATCAGATTAAGTATATCCTTTCCGATGTGCAGTGTGATACCCTCTATGCAAACTTCAGCCAATCGTACAAATGACCTTACCCTTTGTCTTGTTTTCCTCTAACAACCTTTGCGCATCTTGGATCTGCTCCCATGGCAGAACCTTTTCTACATAGAGCTTGAATGTGCCATCTGTCATTTTCGGCAACGCGTGCTCTACGAGTTGGTCTCTGAGCTTGCCTTGGTACGCTTCATCGCGACTCCTCAGACTGCTGCCGACATAACTGCACCTCTTCCTGATGAATGCGCTGATATCCGTACCCTCTGGCAATTTGGTACCACCCATGAAACCCAGATTCACGATGACGCCGTCCTTCGCTACAGCCTCGAGGTTCTGCTGGAAGTACGATGCGCCAATGAAATCGACGATAATGTCTACACCCTTGTTGTCGGTTGCTTTCATCACCTCTTCGACCCAGTTTTGAGAAGTGGTATTGAATGCGGCAGTAGCGCCCAGCTCCTTTACAGCGAACTCGCATTTAGAATCCTGACGGGCGGTGGCATAAACGGCAGAGGCGTTATCAGCACGGGAGAGTTGGATACCGGCAATTGAGACGGATGACGCTGCTGCGTGCCAGAGGATGGTCTTTCCGGCACTGAATTGGCCGATCAGGTACATAGCCTGGGTGGCTGTTATCCATGTCTGTAGTCCATACGTTAGCTCACCATTCTCTCTTCCATAAATAGTATGAACCTACTTCGGGAATTCCAGCGCATTGCTCCCAAGTCAACTCCTTTGGTTTCCTCACCAACATATGTGTTGAGACTGCGATGTATTCTGCATAAGCACCTCCATATGCCAGGCCAAACACTTCATCTCCCTCCTTAAAGCCTTCTTTTCCACCGCCCTCTTCGCTGAGTTCCGCGATTGTACCCGAAAATTCAACACCTAGGATTTTGGAAGCACCAGGTGGTACAGGGTATTGACCCTCACGCTGCAGCAAATCCATGCGGTTCAGGCCGAAGGCCTTGATCTTGACAAGCGCTTGCGACTTTCCGAGTTTCGGCTTGGGCACGTCGGCGATGTGCAGATTCTCGAGTGGACCTTTGCCATTCTTGATGTCTGAGGACCTCTTAGCAAAGTAATGTTCTGGGATGCACGGAAGTGTGTACGAACCTACTGCGCGCATTGTGTCACTCATTCTGATAGAACTTGGTCGTGCCGATTGTCTTATTTAGAATACAAGCAAGAATCACAGTGTTCAAGACGTAAATCACACGATTGAGCGGCACGAAGCAAGAGCTAGAATATGTACTTGCTCCTGTTTCCGAAAGCATTCCGTCCGCTACCGAAATGATTGGTAATGACGTCTGAGCGGGGCAGCTCCACGACTCATGGAGCTAGCAGCTATAGTGGGGTGCATTGTACCGGACAACATAGGCAACAGGAGAGAGGCACTTGATTGTGTATTTTGGCACCATGCAATCAGCTTTGCTGGTGCGTGTTGAAGAATAAACACGTATCAGGCCAAGGACTTCTAGAATTCCATACATTGTAGAGCATTGCTGAAGACAATCGTTTCTTCCCGATTTGCCCTTAGCTGACAAACAAACTATCCTCGTTCATGTTGTACTGCTTGATAAGCTGGGCGAGCTTATTGGTTTCCTGAGCAAAATTGAGTGGATATATATTCATGACTTGGTATCGTGGCCTGATAGTTCGTCAGCATTGCACTACTCTGATGTGGCGGCGAAACTTACTTGGGTTGATCCTGATATGTCTCCATCTTCGCACGTACTCGAAAGTTGAAGGTCTTACAGGTCGCTTCCTGCATAAGATTTGTAAAGTTTCTCGAGCCATTTTCTTCGTCTTCCATCTTCATCTTCATGGCTTCGTTTGCTGACACGCCAACGATTGTTTGACCCGCGTCGTCAAAGCAACTGAGCCACAAGGTGCCGGTGTGATCCCCAACGTTGGCGCTGAGCACATAGCGATAATTGGGCTCAGGGAAAGCAGCCTGGCACTTCTCACACCACCAAGAGCCGGGGTTTTCTTCAATGACTTTCTTGTTACAGCCTTGTGTCGAACACGCAGGATATGCGAAAGTCGAATCTTTGACGTACAGGACCGATCCACGAAGGCTCATATATGAGGGGGTGTCTTGAAGATAAGCCTCTTCCTCGATGATGGCCGAAATTGGCTTTGCGTCGTTCTTAGAACCGCCAGTAGTGGACACCATGTTCTGATGCGTAGAGAAGGTAGCACTCTGTCCAACAGCATTGAACCATCCTCGCAACTTGTGAGCCTCGTCAATATCCGGATCGACCATCATTGAACCGGAACTCAACAGACTCAAGCTTCGGCCGCCAAAGTCGGAGACCTTTACTCCCTTGAAAGCAACAATCGACTCCAGCGGTACATCGAAACTCTCGGCAGTTTTGCCCCAGATGGTGAGTCGCACCGATGTTTGACTGTCATCGGCTAGTGTCAGTTCTCGCTTGCTGAAGTCTTTGTTGGTATTCTTTGAAGTTATTGTAGTAACCTCAGCAACGTCTTTCAATACACCAATCGTGTCGATGGTTGTGTCCTTTTCAACTGAGGTTAGATCGCCAATCTTGGTGAAGTTGAATCGAATCTGTGGCTTGTTGTCTTGATCCTCTGCCTTTTCAACCTCAGTGTCACGCTCAAATTGCAGCTCATAGTCGTTGGGCAAGTTTGAGAAATTTTTCTTCGCAAGCGTCACTCTGCAGGGCGCAGAGATGTAGTACACAACACCCTCTTCAAAGACTGGGAACAGCTTGTCAGCGACTTCTGTGAAAGCTGTCGCTCGAATTTCGCCAGTGTCATCCAGCAAATTTACACTGAAAAGTTTGCCCGTTCCCTTCTGGTTGTGCCATTCTTTCATGTCACTCTTGTGGGTGCATCGTGCTCGAATGGTCCACTTGTGGGCGTATGGCGAAAGAGATTCGATAGGATAAAGATGAGGGTGTGAAGAAGTTCCAGGGTTACTCTGATGAGTAGGTAGCGAGCGCTGAGGTTGCGGGGCAGGCGCAGGCTTCGATCCGTAGAAATTATTGCCGGGGATAGCGGCAGGCTGGGCGTCTGCAGGCTTGGTGTCCAGAGCCTCAGGCTGCCCGATCTTTTCAAGTTCGCCGTACTGCGAAAGAACTTCTAGTTCCATGATGATCAGGATGCTGTCCATGTGTTAGGCAACCGCTAGATAAACATCATAAGGGCACATACTTCTTGTCCTTGACACGTTGAGGATTATACTTGAGAAGTCGTACGATTGATCCCTTCTTGAGCTGACCAGAAGTGACGATCTCGTTGGCAGCTGTACACAATTAGCCTTATTCGCAACTCTAGATTCCTGATGCTTGACTGACTGGTAGCGATCATGGTTTGAATGAAGTTGCGAATGTCGCTCAGCACAACCCGAAAGCGCTGTACGGGATTTGCCTCGCCCGCCTTGGGCTCCATGGTCTTGATCTGCACGCATTGCAGGACTGGGTGTTCCACGAAGCAACCGCTCGGCTGAAAGATGCTCCTGCGTGGAGTTAGCATGGTTCCAAATTATGCTGAGCATGGAGACTCACTGAATAGCGCCTTGGGTGATTGCTCCCTCTGCCATTTTGACTACAGTGTATGGGTGTTGTGATGGCGTTGTGCTAATTGCGTGTCGGTGGCGGTACAGCGAAGATCAGAAAGCGCGTCGACGCGTCGGGTCATGTGACTCTGTAGCCCCGCTCTAGCTAGATGTGAAGTGTGGCAGGGCGGGGCTACGTAAGTGGCCGACTAGCACCTGGACCATTTGTGAATACTCGCAGCTCACTAACACCAGATTTCCTCCAACTATTGCATACATACATATAAACATTATGGCGGACAACGAAATTGCTACACGTGCGCCCGAGAGCGATGCGCAGCAAGATACTCAACACCAGACACCTCAGACAGAAGCCAAGGCCCCGGAGCCAGCGCCAGAGAGCGTCTTTCCTGGAGACACTAGAGCACAAGATGGACCAAGCATGGGTGTAAGTTGATTCGCTATCTCGTGTAACAGTAGACTACATGTGTCCATCATGGCTGCGGATATAGCACATTCCCTGGTCTCTGGTGTCTGCTCTATGTTCGAACCGTCTTTACAACCGTCCATTCTGGGTTATGAGTACTGATTGACTAGGAACACTGCACAACAGACCGGCCTACCCCCGCCGGCGAGAAGCCCACAGGTGATCTGACGAAGCTCGGCGGTGTCGAATGCTACATTGCTAAGCCTGCCGACCACCCGCATTCGCCCTCGAAACTCCTGCTTATGCTCACGGGCGGTACCGGCGTCAAGTCTACCAACAACCAGCTACAAGCCGACAAGTTTGCTGCGGAAGGGTACTTGGTCGTTATGCCTGATCAATTCGACAACGATCCAGCACCAAACAGCGTCAGTATGGATGAGGTCGCACAGGATGCTTCTTGGCTTGAGGCTGTCAAATTGAGAACCGCGGAAGGTATAAAGTCATTTATGATTGACATGTGGCTTGCGCGCCATACTCCCGAGAAGGTTCTCCCGTTGCTGCATAAGGTCATTGAGGGCGCCAAAGAGGAATATGCCGATGCTGTCGCGAATGGTGGAGGCATCTACGGTGTCGGTTACTGCTTCGGCGCAAAGTACATCCTCATGCTGGCCTCCGAACTCCCTGATACCGTTGCCTGGGGTCAAGAAACACCAAAGGATGAAGAGCAAGGAACGACGAAGAAAGAACCTGTGCTTCGGGCTGGCGCTGTCGCACATCCAACTATGACATACAAAGAGGATCTCGAAGCTGTCAAATCTCCAGTCTACATCGCCGCAGTGAAAGATGATCCGATGTTCTCAGAAGATGATGAGCTAACACCTGGTCGGAGAGCTATGGAGAAAAACAAGGTCGAGCACGAGATTCAAATCTTCTCTGGAGTACCTCATGGCTTCGCCGTCTTTGGGGATTATGAGGATGCGAAAATCAAACAGTCGCAAGCACAAGCTTTTGGTCAGATACTGGCCTGGATACAATCGCATTAGGGCCTCCTCTTTGAGTCTACAAAGAGCCTACATGGTATAATGAATTTCCTGTCACTGCGGTCAACAGTTCACATACTCTGGAGGAATTACCGGTTATGATTTGGCGTTAAGGTGGATGCAAGTGGCATAAGACATGTCAAAATCTTACCGACATTGTCGTTTCAAGTGGTTTAAGCCTTTTAATTGAATCTGTTGGGTTTGTCCGCAACTAACCTTATTCCGAGGTTTTACACGTACGACTGTGAACCGTCAGAAAACATAGATAATACAAATCCAAAGTGAATACCTGGGAATCAAGATGAGTGTTCAAACTGCTTCATGTATGGATTTCGAGCAACCAGAGACACTATTGCAATTCTGTTTAAACATGATCAAATAACTGTGCTATGGAAGTCGCCGCATCTCTTTGGGCTCGAGTATCTTTAATCAACTGTTGTATAGAGAGATTTCAGTAAATCAGCGTATAGTTGGATATATTACAGCTTAATAGATTTGCGGTAGCTGTATAGCATCTGGATCTGTCACCTACCAAGCTCATATCAGATTGACACGCTAAAGTTTGGAGCATGACACTGACATCCATTAGTTTCCATTCTGGACCCTGCATGACTCGCGTCAATAAATTTCCTAGCCCCTCCGCTTGCGACCCCTCCATGCATTCTTCAAGATTGACATTCACAAAACGCCAATACGCAATATGGACGACCCAGCATTCGATACCGAGACCGATCTACAAACCCAAAGCATACTACTTGCTGCCGCGAACCACGATACTGCTTCGCTGCGCAACCTCCTCCGAAATTCTTCTGCCAATGTACAAGATTCCGAGACAGGCTTCACACCTCTACACGCCGCAATTGCCGCTTGCGAACCCGATGAGGATGATGCGAAACAAACCAATGGTAACTCAAATGGGGACGCAGGCAATGCGCCAGGAGAGTCTGGAGAAATGGATAGCGCCGTGAAGACAATTAAATTTCTTTTCGAAAATGGCGCAATATGGAACGACTTGGATTCGAATGGCGAAACACCAGGATGTATAGCGCACAGACTCGGCTTGAAAGAGCTATATGATCTATGCGTAGACGCCGGCGTTCGTGCAGAAATGCTACTGAATCGTCTGGAGCAGTACCAACCTCTTGGAGACGACGATTCGGACGAAGAGGATGAGGAAGAAGATGCACAAGAAGTGGGAGAAGAGGCAGAAACAGTAGAGACGGTCCAGGAAGATGTACAAGGCGACGAATCGACCGAGAATCCAAACTATCTTGCTTCAAAACTCACATTTAATCGCGACCGACTGCTAGACGATTCAGGGAACGGCGTCATGATGGAATGGGAAACAACCTTGATGCGCAAATCTGCCGAACTCCTAGCACCCAAAGAAGGTCTCCGGGTTCTCAATGTAGGTCACGGAATGGGCATCATCGATGGAATCTTCCAAGAAAAGAAGCCAATAAGTCATCACATCATCGAAGCACACCCAGACGTAGTCAAACGTATGAAAGAACAAGGTTGGCATGAGAAGCCTGGAGTCGTGATTCATGAGGGTCGATGGCAAGATATTGTTCCCGGTCTCGTGGAAAAGGGCGACCTGTTCGATGCCATCTACTTCGACACGTTCGCTGAAGAGTATAAGGCCCTGCGCGAGTTTTTCACCGAATATGTTATCGGGTTGCTCGATCCCGCAGGAGGTGCAGATGGCGAAGGCGGAAAGTTTGGCTTCTTCAATGGTATGGGGGCTGATCGACAGATTGTGTATGATGTGTACACCAAGATTGTGGAGTTTGATCTCTTTGAGGCTGGGTTTGATACGGAATGGGAGACTGTTCCTGTACCGGACCTTGACGAGAAGGGTGAGTGGGAGGGTGTCAGAAGGAAGTATTGGGTATTGAAGGATTATAAGCTCCCGACCTGCAGCTTCATTGGGTGATGGAGAGGTCATGCGCTTAAGCGTATCGGAGAAAGACGAAATGAAACAAAATATTTGATATTGATCATCATAATCAGATAGGGCTTCTCAATTTCAAAATAGAGATTTTGCCATCCTGTACTCCAAAACACCGACGCTATAAACAGTAAAAAAAGCGGCCATTAGTTCCCATTCATTCCATTCATCAGACCGTGTAATTGTAGCAACTTGTTATACCGGCCCTGTTGTGGCTCTGCCAACTGTTTTGCTGCCTCTGCCCCTATGACAGGCATCGCCTTCAATCCATCGCTCTTCTGCTTCTTGGGAACAGCCTTGGGATCCAGTAGTCCAATTTGCACTAGAACAGAAGCCTGATCCCAATACATGTGTTCCGAAACGAGCTTATCTCCTCGTACAGCCACGATACTGACCATGGGTATTTCGACATGCTTATTTGTTGGTGGTACACCAGGCAGTATCCAATCAATTTCATCAGAGTGCGTAAAGGACACGACCATCTCGTCCACAATGCGATTAACGCCCATGGTCCGCGAAATCAGGCGTATATCGAAATCCGGGACCAAACTTGGTACGAAGAATTCCCCATAAAATTCAGCCAGCTTCTTCCTTCCCACGCCGCCTTCCATCGTGGGAAGAATAGTAACATGCGGGCTATCTTGCGTCATATTCTTAGCCACAGCCATGCTCGCTCGATCCGGGTCATCGTCTTCAAAACGTGCGTTCCAATGCGCAATTGCAACGGGTTCGAGATCGACATTCTTTCCGAATCCTTTGCGGATACTCGCCAGCGCCCTGGTCCAAGCTAGGTTGGCTTCTACTTCCGAATACGCCGGGGACGATGGATCCAGGAATCCTGAAGCACACCTCTCATACCGATACAGCTTCCACTCGCACATCTCCGGTCTGGCGCTGGCCTGACTCAAGCACGCAACATGGACCTGCAATTGGTGCGATCGCGGATACATGGTTTTTGGACTGGGTAGAAGCGTCGGGTAGAAAGCGACAATCGCACAGCATTTCGCCAGCGGTTTCTGTGCTGTTTTGAGGACAAGGCTGGCGGCCTCGCCATACGCAATTATCGCGTAATGTTCACCGAGCTGGCATGCTTCTGTGAGCTTTCGGATAGTACTGACGTATTCTGTTTGGGATTGCTTGCGCGGTTCGTAGGGAAGGAATTGCGCATCGTATCCTTCTTCTTGCCAAGCTAGGAGCGCCTTTTCTGGCGCAGGATACGTGCTTGTGAGGTAGATGCGTGGAGGAGATGAGTTGAATGTCAGGAATCCGCCTCTTCCGGGTGCGGTATCGAATGATGTGATCGACATGATGAAGAAGATGCGATGGTGTTGATGTTGGCGAGACGCGTGTAGATACCTAGCTCACCTAGGACCCAGTCCTTGATACAACTGTCAGAGTAATAACGGCAAATCGGGAATAATAGTAGAAGGGATTCTCAACGGCGCTTAAATTCATTTCGGCTACCTTCTCCAACCTTGATCATACCCCAGCCGCGCAACCAAGGAAAATCACATGGGTTAGCCCGTAGTGTTTGGTGCGCGATGACGTCATGTTCAAGGCTCCCAGCTGGCCCAGTTGCGTGTCCGCACCGCAGCCCTTGCAACTCTTACTCAAGTCACTTCCGCTCATCCGTATAGTAAAATCTGTTGGTATAAATATTTTAGTCCAAGATTAGCGTATTCGTCCCACTTTGTTCTACGGGAACGTTTGGGAACTTGTGCACGCCATGAGAAGAGCAACCAATGGCAAGGCCCGCTAAGGATCGGTGACATGTACCTAGTACCACGTTTTTATCTTTCGGTAAGATTGAAACTATGCTGGCAGTGAAGTCCTATATTGTATCTGGATGATACTGATGAAAGTCTAAATTGATAATCTAAGTGTGTGTGTGCAAAGAACGTAAGAAAAAGTAAATGAGACGCAGATGTATGTATGCAAAAGCAACGCAATTCGTTACCTCTCTAACACGCTATTCCGGCCGTCCATTGTTACAGCTGGTGATATCTAAGCCCTCGAGGAAGGTGGGTCCTCAGGGTCGGAACCATCTTCGGGCTCGTAGTCTGGAGGATCTATGCACAATCAATATATGTACGACCCAGCGCTTTGTACGTAAAAAATGAACTTACTCTCGGTGAAGAATGTCTGCCAGTTGTCACCACTAGGATCCGTAGCACAGATGCGACTAACGTACGCATCCAAGGCCATCCATGCATAGTTATCGGCGTTCAGGGATGCAGCGACCGGGTCGTCGTCCTGTTCAGGGTCGATGAGACCATGGGTTCGCTCGGGTTCATAGGCATTTACTCCATCCAGGTTGAGTCTATCCTGGATATCGTCCTCCAAAGACGTTGCTGGACCCACAGAACTGTAGTGTGTCCATTCGTGGAGGATAATACGGGAGATACTGTCCATTTTTATGCTGGGATAGGGGTCAAGAGCACCGCAGTCAATGTCTGCAATGCTTTCCAAACGGCCCGTCCAGGCTATGTCGCAGAAATGGATCTTCTCCCGTTTATCAACTGGTTCATCGACCAGGGTGTACGCGAGAGTATTTCCATCGCAGTTAGATGCGTTTGGAATATCTTTGCCAAAGTCTAAGATATGCATGAGAATGTTTCCGCTGGAAGGCACTCGAGTCAAGCTTACCTTTGTTGTCGACAACAAAGCTTCCCACGACAGCCCCAAGTTTGACATTATTCTCACCATCGCCAGCGAGTAGGTTCAAGACATTCTTGACGTGGTCCTGGAAGTGATACTCATCAGGCCTTTCCTTAGGATCGTCTTGCTCCTCATTGAGCCCGAAATGACGCAAATACGGCTTGAGTGCCTTTTCTGCTGCACCCGATCCATAGCTGGTGATGGCCAACATTTCGCCGCTGCAGAGGATATTGTGAAGCAGCTCCAGGTGGGCCTTGTCAGTTTCATTATTGGGGTCAAAGTTTAGGTACTTCCACTCGTTCGTGCAAGCATCGCCCAGTGGATAGGACGATGGTTCCGGTGGGGCTTGCCGAGCAACTACTCTAGTCGGTGGGTTGGATATTGGCTTTGCGTGAACCGCTGCCGCAAGAGCAAGAGCAAAAGAGAAAGTTTTGAAGAAAGTCATGTTGGAAACGTTGTCCGCTAGGAATGATACGTGTAACAAGATTTTAAACTCTGAGTGTTAGATATCCGTTACTCTTGGGAAGGATGTGATGGTGTTGTAGGTATTGATGTAAACTTGTAGTCAACTCCAATGCCATATATACATGTTTTTTCGCTACCAGAGGTACTCTCAAGGTCACTTGCAAGAATCACATCACGATCAGTTACGTACAGGTGAAACTTTGCGATGTGAGTGCGCCTTGTTCCTCCAGAGTCAGCTTACGCTATAGAATACTATTCTCGTGTAGTACTCGGGGCGAACAAGGAAAACATAGCGTTGTCCGATCATATGGCTACGTTGTTTCCTCGGAGCAACATGGTTGCCTGAAGTTTCATGGTCGAACATGGTACATCTATTCTCACGTGATATTTTCTATGAGAAATACAGTGATGTGTAACGGGACGCTTTGTTAGATTATTTCCATGTACTTCCGTCCTCTTTGTACGACCAAGGCAACATCCGTATTCTATAATTATCTACCAAAGGGGTCTGTCTGATAGCCACTATAACTTGGAATCTTGATACCTATTCAATACTACTAGCCAATTTCTCAATTAAGGTTGATGCGATACAGAGCCGTACTTGAAAGCCTACGATACTTGGGTTCTACTTACCTTGTTTGGCACCATATGCCGAGTGCATAGACGTGACACAAGTATAATAGTATAAGATCTTCGCATAGCCGTATAATCCTGGGGCGGTGTAAGGCGGAATGGTTCTCAGCCCAGGTAGTGGGCGAATCATGATTTGTAGATCGTTTCGGGGGTGGCGCGGGATGTTACCCTAGTCTATACATCGCTGACAGAGCCTGTTGAACCAGTAAGCACCGGAATCCGAGACATAGCGTGCCACACTCTCTTTGGCTGCAAGACGCGAACGGATTTTGTTGTTCCTAAGTAATGGGCCAATCAATCCTGGGAAATTCTGGACGCCTTACACCTTTCGCCCCATTCGAGTGATTGACTCAGAATAGGACTCATGCTGTGCCACAGCCTACTGTACGCGCCTACCTGACGTCACTGTCTACGGGTTATCGTAGTCAACCAATCTCCCCAAACTTCACATAGAACTTACTTTATAGAATTATTGGCCTTCTTGGAATCACTCTGAATCTCGACATCCCTATTACACTCATACCATGACGAGCGAATTGTCCATTCACGTACAACCTCACAGTCGCTACAGCGTTTTCGACGCATCAGGACAACTACCGTTCAGTGTTGTGTTCGGCATCTGCCGTCTTTCTAAGTCCGACACGGACCCTCGCCCACTACTTATCGAGACTGCAGGCTCAGTGTTCGATGTCCCATACGCCTTGGCCCATGGCTTGCTTACCCTACACGAGGAACATCCTGGCGAAGCTACAAAATGGGTCGAAGTGGATCTGAGCAAAATGGGAGAAGTTGACAAGAGTACCTCAGAATGCATTTCTATCCCTTCTCCCCTCAACCGAACGAAGAACTGGAAGGACGACATAACGGTATATCTAGGTCATATTGATCTGAAGGGTGCTCTGGCATCAATACTCAAAGTAGGCAAAAGGTACAGAATAAGACTTGCGAGTAAAGACCTTGGTGTCAGCAAATGGACGTATGGCAACCAAGATCATTTTGAAACGGCCCATAGTGAAACGGCAAACTTGGTCAACAGCTACTCTCACGGCAATGCAACATTCAAAGTCATGGACAACCTATTGTTCCCACCGAAAGTGGAGGTGAAATTACGCTTGGTCGAAAGCACATCGCTAGAAGTTACCGTTGAAAACACGGCCGAGGAAACCATCACTGTACAACCTCGAGGCCACCAAAATTTCCTTGTTCCATGGGGTCCCATGCAGCCAGAACCCGATGTACTCGACGACCGTCCAAGAATCATCGACTCTACGCCGCAAAACTACGCCCCGGTATCCAGTCTCATGGTTCTTGATGCTGCGGCGAGAGAAGTAGTTCGTGGACATGAAGATCCCAGCAAGTGTCACTTGAGGGACCCCAAAGCCGATACACGACCCAGAGTAGACGAGCTGATGATATTGGGGCCTCACAAGCCGGTCACTGTTGTGCACCAGATCGATTGGAAAGTGAAAGGACTACAGGATGGAAATTACACGATCCGGATGCATCCAAAGGGTTGCCGCTGGTGGCGCGGAAAAGTCGAGGACGAGGAGGGCGAAGACGGAAAAGTTCCAGCGCGACTATGGAAAGGAGTCACTGTTCCCCTTATGCTTGAATCTCAAGATGAGCTGGAAGTGACTATCAAAGATGGAAAGGTGGACGGTTCTTTATGACATATGGCGGGCAGAAAGGATAGCGCATGTACAGCAACGTGCTTCTCGATATGTATTCCAGGCATTACAACGAATTCCCAACAATTATGTTTCGATATTTCCTAATCGTCATGAACAATAATTCAAGTGAAGATAAACACCAAAATTATGGGAGAAAGACAGAGCCGATTTCGGACCGACAGAACCCCTCTGATTCGAGATGACGCCATAGGAAAAGGATACCAAACTAACCAATCTCCATCGCCTCCAGATGTACAAGAGCTAAAGAACTCACTTGCGACAACTCCATTGTGATTTTTACTCTCCACAATGGCTTCATTCTTTCCTCGCGCAGCTTCCCGAGCTCTGCGCTCCTCTGCGCGCCCTGTACTGCGGGCACAACGTCCCATCACCCCACTGCTCCGTCGTGGATATGCGCTTCCAGCTGAGCAACCACGTCTGAGGCTAGGATCCATTGGTACTTGAGATATATCAAAACATTTCACAGCAATATGTATACTAACTCATTGATACCAGCTCCAAACTTTCAGGCAAAAACTACCCACGGCGATATTGTACGCATTCCCTTACTTGCATCCCATGAAGCAACAAACTAACACCAACCAGGACTTCCACAACTTCCTCAACGGAAAATGGACCATCCTCTTCAGTCACCCCGCAGACTTCACCCCAGTCTGCACAACCGAGCTGGGCGCCTTTGCAAAACTCAAGCCCGAATTCGACGCCCGCGGCGTCCAAATGATCGGCCTCGTACGTCGTCTCTTCCCACAAACACTCAATCTAACCAACCAAACACGTACTCACAATGCACAACGCAGAGCGCCAACGACCTCTCCTCCCACGCCGAGTGGATCGCCGACATAAACGAAACCTCACAAACCACGGTTCACTTCCCCATCATTGCCGACGCAGACCGCCACGTCGCATACCTGTACGACATGATTTCGCAGGACGATCTCGACGCGCTGCAAAAGAACGGCGGCATCGCCTTTACCATTCGCTCCGTCTTCATCATCGATCCGGACAAGAAGATTCGACTTACAATGTCTTATCCGGCTAGTACGGGGAGGAACACGGCGGAGGTGCTGAGGGTGATTGATAGTTTGCAAACGGGCGATAAGAAGGGTGTTGCGACGCCGATTGATTGGCAAAAGGGGGATGATGTTATTGTGCCGGCTAGTGTGAGTACCGAGGATGCGAGGAAGAAGTTTGGCGAGGTGAGGGAGGTTAAGAAGTATTTGAGGTTTACGAATGTTGGGAAATAAGGGAGATGGTGGGTGATGATGGCGTGAAGAGATGTGTAGAGCTAGGTGAATAACTAGAGATAAACTCCTAGTACTACTACCATGTATGAATCTAAAGTCCTCCGTAGCATGCCAATATCCTCATCGTTTCTTTTAAAAAAAAAATGCAAACAGAATACAAAGGGTATCATCCAGCACACGTCCTTACGAGCCCGCCGGAGCTGCAAACGAGAGTCTAACGACTTTACCGCCATCGCCCCCAGCTTCCTTCTTCCAGCCCAGCACGTCGTCCTTGTTCCTCTCCTTGTTGACCTCCCACGGCACCAAGAACCCAGCATTCAGGTTCCCATTCTTAACACCCTGAATCGCCACCTTTTGCTTCGACTGCGCAATATACGCGTTGAGGTACCCTTGCGTAATCAAACTACCGCATATACATTCTAATTCCAGGATGTCAAATTCGTGGATATAGGGCTGTACATTATCCAAGCCGGCAAAGTCTGGATCAATATACATCGACTCTGTAGTCGACGCGACGCGAGCCTCGAGAAAGCGGAATATTTGGACGGCAGCACGGAGGTCGAGTAGGGCTGCTGCTTTTGACGTCTCGCCTATGCTACCGGTGAGGATGAAGATTTTGCGGAGGAGTGACCGCCATACGAGGACTTCGCAGTAGTTGCCGATGGGGTAGAATATGCGGTATTTGATCATGAAATCGGCGCTTGGGTGCGAAAGATCCAGGTTTGTGATGCGGCGGAAGGTTTCCAGGTCGCCCTTGCGAATGGCTTGAGTGATTGGAACGAAGACTTCGCGGAAGCCAATGTTAGCTGGATCGTTGTAGATGTATTCATTTGGAAAGCGACCAAGAATAATGTTTGCGGCGACAAGACAGACAGCGATTAAGCGGCGCTGTTTCGGGCATTGCCTATGGCAGCCTCTATAGGCTACCTCCAGAACCAGCTGAGCGGCGTAAAAATTGGTGTTGCTGAAGTGATATCTTCCAAGATAGTAAAGATAGGTTGTCCGCTCCGCAGCAGGATAGAAATGTAGTGGTGGCGATGAATTTGAAATGTTATTAAAAATGGTTTCGCAACTTCCCAGCTTGTCTGCTTGAAATAAAGTCTTCAAGCATATATTAGCCATCTTGTAGATGCCCACCTTCTTGCCGTCGGGCCGGCCGTCTTTTATGCCACCTGGCACAGTGTTGCGGTCGTTTAAGCATATGATGAAGGCTTGTCGTACAATGTTGGCAGCCTTCTCTGGTAATGATTCTCTCTGGCCGTCTTCATCCACATCAGTTAGAAGCTGTTGCGCCAGACTAGGGTTGTTGTCCAAGCCGATTGCAACCCGTGCAAAGACTTTGGCATAGTACATGATGGTGGGAAGCATCATGATGCCCTTGGTAGGATGCTGCAATGCGCTATTGGCACGTCTAACATTGCTGTCAATAGCTGTGTCTCTCGGAAGTAATATGCAGTAGTCAAACTTACGGTTGAAGATCTGTCATCATTTCAAATACCATGACGAGATTATTGGCGTCGACATCTCGCAGAAAGGTCATCCATCCAACAAGAAACGTGACGAGCGATCCCCAGGATTGCACTGGTCTTCCCTCTTCATCCTCAGACTCTGCCGTCTCAGTCACCACACGTCTGACCAGATCCTCGAGACGTTTTTCAGAGCCCGGATTAGAAGCAGGATAATTTTGCTTCAACGAGTTTATAAGCTCTTGATGATCCGGGGGCCAGCGGTTGGCCTCAAGCGGCTCCAGGAGCACGATTGACTGTAACTGGTTGGCATCGCCTGCTCGTATAGCGACGTTGACGGCTGTGCACAGACGCGTCTCGACATCGTTCTGATTTTGGAAGAATGGCATAGCTGCAAGAACCCCCGTCGACGGTTGGGGGTGGAGTCAAGCTAAGCGGGAGAGCTGGCTGTGGCTAAGGATATTCAACAATGCACTAACCTATATACGCACTAGAAAAGGGCCCAAGCTCCCTCGCTTAACACCCGCACATCCCTGCCGCCGATCATTGAAAGGAACATCTCTCTTCCCCCTTTCCGAGAGTTTCGTTGACGATTTCTAGATTTGATCTCAGATCTGTCAAAAATTGCTCACCTGATGACGTTATGTCAGCAACTCTCTATCGGGATCTTCCTCGTCTAAGCTGGGCAGCGTGACGTGCATGCCTGACAGTCAACTTTGTACTTTTTCACATGTCAGACCCACTACCGTGACATCACCGAGCGTAATGTGCGAAACAACCATGTTGAAGCTGCACGTTTCCCGCAGATGTCCGGCACTACTAAGTAACGTGTTAAAGTACTCTTGTCGTACTTAACCTTTGCGAGGCACATCCTTTGTTGCACCCTTTTGTCAATCTATTCTATTGCTGTTGCCCATCCACTCACGATGGGGTACATTATCGACTACATTTGGTACTTTGTCACACACCCTATTCTCTTCATTTACCAAGTGGTTCAATATGTGCTTGACTTGCTCCTCTCACCCACTCCTCCTCCACCCCATTTAAACCTCGCCCGCCCAAAGATCGCCATCATAGGCGCTGGTCTCACCGGTGTATCAGCTGCTTCGCACATTGTCGGTCATGGCTTTGATTGCCGTATCTTCGAGGCTGGGCCAAAGGAGAACCTCGGTGGGATCTGGAGTCGAGTGAATAATACGTCTGGTCTGCAAATCCACTCGGTCATGTATCGCTTCCACCCTTCGGTGCACTGGAAGAAGGGGTATCCAGATCGCCAGCAGATTGTGTCGCAGATTACAGAGTTATGGAAGAGATATGGATTGGAGGACAAGACGGAATTCAACACAAAGGTGGAAAAGGTCTACAAGGATCCGCATGGGCGATGGATTATCAACGACCCGAGCTACGGGCGATTTGATGGAGTCATTGCAGCCATCGGAACATGTGGTGATCCAAAGATGCCCAGGCTGCATGGCCAGGAGAATTTCAAGGGAAAGATTTGGCATAGCTCGGACCTAGACGGCAAGACAGCCAAAGGGAAGAAGGTGGCCATTATTGGTGGCGGCGCATCTGCTGTGGAGGCATTGGAGTTTGTTGCGAACGAAGAGGCAGAACATGCATATGTCCTTTCGCGCAGTGAGAAGTGGATCATCCCGCGGAATCCATTCATCGACGCTCTTCTGGCTTTGAACATTTTCGGTTCTGAAACAATATTTTCCTGGATTCCAGAGTACATTCTAAGATTGTTCTTCTACCGCGACCTGTACGATATCTCGCCGGCGCCCAATAGTGGAAAGGGACTCTTCACCGAGACGCCAATGGTTAACGATCAGGTTCTTGACCTCATTCGCTCAGGTAAAGCTTCCTGGTTGCGCGGCGACATCATGGGCTACGATGACTCTGGCCGGGGTATCAAGTTCAACAAACGCGCTCAGGGGGTTCCCAAGAATGGGCCTGGCTCAGAGAAACTAATCGAAGCGGATATTGTCATCATGGCTACGGGATACAAACGACCAAGCTTGGGCTTCCTGCCAGAAGAAGTGTTCAACGAACCATATGATCCACCGAATTGGTACCTCCAGGTCTTCCCGCCAGACCACCCTTCGATTTGCGCAAACAACTGTACATATGTCAATGCAATTGGCACAGTGGGAAACTACCACATTGGCATCTACACGCGCTTCCTGCTCATGTATCTGGTGGACCCGCTGGCGCGACCCAGGACGTGGTGGATGAAGCAATGGATAGACATGACGCGGTTCATCAAGAGCAAGGCCCCTGGGGGAGCATTTGATTTCTTCACATACTCGGAGCTGATTTACTGGTTTGTCTTCACAATTGCCATCAATCCATTCCGGTGGAAGTGGGCGGCTTTTGTATTGTGCGGAGTTGGCAAAGGGCTACCACTAAGCGTAGTTGAGCAAGAGAATCGAGCAAGGAATGGATTGGGCATGACACAGGCTGTTGGCAGTCACAGCAACGGATATCAAACGGAATAGCGGAGTGCCGGATAATGGAAAATGGTTAGCTTGTCGCACCATGTAAAGGAAACGCTCAAGATGGATTTAGACTCTCAGCTCTTTCTTGCTCATTTGATCAGTCTTTCCGTGGAGCGGTGGAGAATGACCTGCTAAAGTTGATCTTGACCATCATGAGATTCCTTTTGGGAGCAGGAATAAGGAAGCATACAGTGCCACGTAGGGAACAGCTGATGAAGCACGAAGCATGTCGGGGACTACATGTGGACGCGAGAGTGGGATCTGCTCAAAGTGGTGTGCAGCAATGGGGAATTGGACAGCTTAAATGCTTGTTCGAGGTGCAAATTACGTGTTTGGTGGTCAGGAGAAGACGGTGAGCGGTATCGATATGGCAGATTGCATGGTCGGTGCCCCGGTGAAAAACTTCGCTCTCCTTTTTTGTGCGTATGGCACGCACCACGCAGAGGACAAAAAGGTCGGCCCCTTTTTCCTTATTCTGAGTATAACTTTGAGAGTGGTGGGGTTCGTCGGAAAGTTGTGCGGAGCCGGGTACACAATGAGGCACGTCTTACCCAGTGCATTTCCATGGCAACGCGATGGCAACGCGTAAACATGAATCAGAAAATGGGCTGAGGCCATGGGATGGAAACGCATGCAAATGTTGATAAAATTGACACTGTTTGAGGATGTTGAATGTTCCTCAGGAGGCGATGTGCCGTTGTCGCAGCTCAAACAGGCTGGCAGGAGCTTTAGTTGGGCGGAGGATATGCCCCCCGCATGTAGCAGCCTCTACAGGCGCGTCACGGCGTCACAGCGTCCCGTCGTCTCAGATAGCGACCTGCCGAGGACGAGGCCGCACACGATCCGCATGCAGAAGTGAAACTCGTGTTCCCTGGGGGTATAATATTGATAGAGGCGAATCCTTTCTTTACTTACTTAGTAGAGTGGGCCGGATGCGGCTGCGATGCGCAGCAGCCAACTGGCGGTGCAACAAAGGATTGTCCGGTGTGTGGGAGGGTGTGCTGACTCTTTAAGTTCTTCGAGGCGAACCCATCAAGGGAAAGCAGAAGGGAGAGAAGGGGCTTTGTTTTCGGGGTGAGTGACCACGCGGGACCGGGTCGGTTCTAGTAGTATGTGGGAAGGGAGAAAAATATTTTTTTTTCTTTCCTTGGGCTTTGGCATGCATGCTCCTCTTCCAATCTCCACCGAGCGGATAGAGTAAGTAAGTACGTACGTAAGTGAGGTGCATGGTTTCAAGCAAAAGTCAGATCGGAAGCGTGCGGCCAGGTGCTGCTCTCGTGACAAAGAGGATGAGTGCTAGCCTGCTGCCACGGTGCAGATTTTCAGGGTCTCGAAACGCACAATAGGCCGTAGACGGTAACGCGGGCGGGTCCCGCGGTCTGGGGTATATGACGGACCCTGTGTTGGTGAGACTGGCGCGGTGGTGGGTGTGTGGCTAGAGAGCGAGAAGGGCGGTTGCGGTCATGTGATAGCGTGCGTGGGATTGTTTGTGTACGGCAGGCGCGGACGCGTCGCACCTGGCGACGAGGCTTTTTTTGTTTCCATGGCGCGCGCTGGGGGCCCACAAAAGGAGGGGTCAGCCCGTTGGCGGGGGCGCGTGCAGGCTGCGCTTATGAAAGAGTTTGTGCACTCAGACTCGCCGCTTGCCCTGTACGGCCTCGCTGCAAACAGCCGCTGTTCTCGAACAGCGACTCAGCTCGCCTCCAGGCGCTGCACGACCGCCGCCCCGGCCACGCCGAGTAATTGCCTGCTGACGTCGTTGGCCGGGCAGCATCGTGTCCACACAATAAACATGTACTCGCCCGTTGCTCATGAGACGAGGGGACGCTGGCTGCGGCTTGACAGGCGCCGAACAGGTTTGCCTTCTTAGCCCACCCAGTCCCTTGATGGCAAGCCGGCGGGCGTGGCCTCAGCCTTATTGAGTATGACGTTTGCGAGTGTCGCCATCGAGATCTCGTTGCAGCAGCCTCGATCGCAGGCACGCCACTAGGAGCGTAGTGTGTTGGGGCGAGGCCAGGCCGGTGCAATGCGCGCCCGCTTGCTTGCTTGGGGGGGGGACATGGATGCACATGGATGGGCCCGACAAGGCGATCCGAGCGTGAACGAGCCATGCAGCGGCCGGTCGCCGCATCCACGGCGCTTGTGGGCAGAGGGCAGAGCGTGGGTAATGGCAATGGTAATAATGGGCGTGCGACGTCGGTCGAGCTGCACCGAAAGAAGCATGGAAATCTCCCGCTCGCCCAATGGGTGCGCCTCGCTGCTCCATGGCCAATGGGCGGCCCGCAGGTGAGCAGGATGACATGGAGGGCCAGCGTCGCCATGGCAGATTCCCTGGCAGAGGGCGTGCCAGACGTGTGCCGTTCCCTGGCCGATGACGAAAGAATACGTAGTCGGCGGCCGAATGGGCCTGCCTGTGTGCGTGCTATGCGAGAGCGGCCAAGTGGGCTGTCCTACTGTACTGGTAATAGTGAGTAAGGATAGCAAAAATACTGCTACTCCAACTGGGAAACGCTACTCTACTAGCACCACTGCTGCTGCTGCTACTACTGCTACTACTCCTCCTACAGAACTGCACTGCACATGCACCGCCTCTGACAGGCTGCCGTGGGCCAGTTCACGCGTCTCTGGCGACGGCGGTTGCTGGCCTGTTCGGTTTCCGCACGCACATGCAAGACCATGCAGCGGGCAGCTAGCCGCAGTCGCCCATGTTTGGTACCGAGTGGGCTGCACTGGTTTCCCTTGGAGACGGTCTCCATGGTAAGTATGCATGTACGGCTACACGCTACACAGTACACGCTCCACCCTCCACGCTGAACCACTCCGAGGCCACCCTCGTCTCGGCAGCGCGACTCTGAGTAAGTAGTGTAGCTGTGCAAATGTACTATTAGGCGGGGGGGCGCAACGCAAACTCATCGTTTCACCCCTCCACCTGCTGCGCTACAGGGAGCACCCATCCGCCATGGGTCTGAGCCGCGTCGAGCTAGGCGGTTGCTTCTCTGGCAACGCGCTGCACACGGCAACATGGACCGGCCTGGTGCAGCCATCTATCATGTACAGTAGTAAAGTAGACATACATGAAGCAGCAGCCGTCAGACGCACACGGTGCCGTGGTAGAGCAGCCTGCCAGTGATGCACATACACAATGTCCCTACATACAACATGTACACAAGAACAAGAACAAGGCAGACAGGCCATATCTGTACTGCAAACACTGGTTTACCCGTCTGCAGTGGGCGTCATCAAGCTGCAGCCCAGCTGCACGCAAGCAGCCGAGCATGCCATCGCGATCAAATCAGCAGCCGGTGTACCTGCGGCGGCATTAGAGGCAGCGGATCATCGCAGCGCAGCTTGGACGTGCTGCATAGCCGGAACGAACAAACTCCACTACCCAGTCCTCTTTGTCCCGTGCTGGTGCTGGGCTGGGCAGTGAGGCCTCCGGTGTGTGCAAGCGCCTAGCTTAGCAGCCCATGCCCTGGTCGTCCGCCCTAACCTTCTCAGCGGGCTACCCCAGCAACCATGGCATCCTCAAAGCCAGCTGCGTGACGGACCCGCCGTCCTTCCTCTCTACCCTTCTCTCCCCCAAGAAGGCCCAATCCCCCGACTTAACTTGGCCCACTCGCCTTGTCGACGAAGGTTCGCATTTGCTTGGATCTCCCACATCCATTATAGGCAGTCGCTACCTCCTTCACCTCCTCCCATCGCGCCTGCAGCCTCATGTCCGGAGCCCGCCTGTAGCACCCAATTCGACAACCAACCGCCCGCTACCCACCACCAAACACGCACAACGACGATACCAGCCCCGATTATCCCACTGCCCCCAGCATCTTCAGATTGGAATTAGCTTTTCTGTCTTGTATGCCTTATCACCCTCACCCGACGCCAGTACACCAATCCACCCGCCCGCCCGCTCTCTCCACCCCGACGCCGACGCTCGTTTCCACCTGTTGCCCGGTACGACCATAGCCCACCCTCACCTTCACCACCATGGAAATGTCTTCACCTCTTGCCGCCATGCACCCGCCCCCAATTCCCGGTCCCTGGGGCTATCGCCGTGACCTGCCTCAGTCCAAGCCGCTCTTCGGGGGTGCACACAACCTTGGCCCCAAAAACTTCAATTTCCGTGATCTCAGCATGAAGAAGGCTAGTGGAGACTACTTTGCCCTCCAGCCTCGCATCGGCTCCTCGCCTACTGCCAGCCTGGCTGCCGACATGTCGAGCAACCTGCACGTTGACCAGAGGTAAAACTACGCTTGGTTTCAAAACACCTTCCGCTTTCGGTGCTAATGCCCTTTGTTACAGCCCTCAGCTCGCCACGCCCCGTCGGTCGCTCTTCACGTCCAATCTCTTTCAGCAGTTGGACACAAGGGGTAAGTGGCTGTGCTCATGACAATGAGAGAGAAGTAGCCCATTCTAACAAAGCTCTTGTAGAAAACCTGACCCCAATTGCCCGATGGGAAGGTGTCACCACTCCCCCAATTCCTTCTTCGTCGCCCGGCTTCGCTCCAGACTCGATGGATATCTCGCCTCTTCCCCACAAGGCCCCCTTTAGCTTCGTCAACGACCGTTCTCTGCCGCTTCCCTCGCCCTCGCCCGAGACCACTCCCGGCACCGACAGTGACATGTTGTCGTCGTGCAGCGACCTGCCTACGCCTCCCACGTACTCGACGGCAAACCTCGAGGTTCCTCGCCCAGTATCTGCTGCTGAGTTAGTATTCTTCGCCATATATGCCTGTTCAATTTCAACTAACACAACGTAGCCGTCGCAAGTCTGCCCTGCTTAGGCCTTCTCTGATGCGTTCCAAGAACAATTCGTCCAACTCTGTTTCTTTCAAGGATGATGAGAAGTCCGACGAGAACTCGGTGCCTCCGCCTCCACCTTTCCAGTTCGGGTGTGGTGACTTTAGCCGCACCTCGTCTTCACTAACCCTGGACGAGTGCTTCGCCGCCTCGCCTCCACAAGAGCGCAGCAGGCCCACATCCAATGGATCCCTATTCGGCTCTTCTAGGCCCAAGCCCTACCGCCTCAACTCTACTGCTACCTCTAGTTCAAATGGATCGCCCCTTGCCGCCATCCGGAAACCTGCTGGTCCCTCCTCGCGTCGACCAAGCAAGTTCCGACGTTCATTGAGCATGTTCGAGAGCCCCGGTGATGTGATGAATGCCAAGCAGGAGCAGGAGAACTATCAGCCCAGTGGTCTTCAGTCTGTAATGGATGTCGATGATGTCCACCCACTCAAACTTCCTCATTTCACTACTAGCGAACCAGAGAGTCTTCCTCGCATTACCCGTGAGACCCTGATTGACGTGCTCGATGGTGTTTACGACCACCTGTATGACAACAAGGTGGTTATTGACTGCCGTTTCGAGTATGAGTACAACGGTGGGCACATTGAAGGTGCTTTGAACTTTTGTGACAAGGAGAAGCTTGCCGAGCGTCTCTTCCAGGCCCCTTCTAGTGAGAACACTCTCTTGGTACTCCATTGCGAGTACTCGGCACATCGTGCTCCTCTGATGTAAGTCAATTGGTTTAGCCATGGTCAATTTCACCAACTAATAGCAACAGGGCCAAGTTTGTTCGCTCGCAAGACCGTAAAGAGAACGCTCACCAGTATCCTTTCCTCTCCTTTCCCGAAGTCTACATCCTTGATGGTGGCTACAGCTCCTTCTTCCATGCTCACGCTACCCGCTGCTATCCCCAAAACTACCTTCGCATGGACGCCAAAGAGCACGAACAATCGTGCGAGCGCGGCCTTAACAAGCTCAAGTTCAAGTCGCGTGCTAAGCTCAACCGTGCCACTACCTTTACCTTTGGGCAACCCTGCCAAATGGAGGACAGCCCTACAACCATGAGCCGGTCAAGAAGCGGAAACAACATCTTCTGCCTTGGCAGCGACTCATTGGACGGCGCTCGGGCTAGTACCCGTCGCCTTGCCTCTTACTAACAAGCACACACTGGCCTCTGGCCGCAATTACGATACCAAACTAACCTTGACGGCGGATCGATTCATGGCGTTTATCAATACTTGCTGCATCGGCATAGGATCCCCACAGCATTGGCGTTTACTTTTCTCTTCTTGTTCTTTATTTCGATTACACCGGGGCGTTTAAGCGATTTCCTTTGTTCTGCATATGGTCCTCGAATATCTTTGTCAGAGGAAAACAGTCTGCATCTGATCTCTGGGGCATCCTGACCCCGTTTTCGTTTCTATACCCCATGTCGCGGAGCCAAGGGCCCGGACATACGTTACCATTTCTTCAGTGGGATGGCTGGATACCCACCACGTTTACGGCGACCGCTGTGCAGGTTGATCCAGTCTGCCCGCAAGCACTCTAATTTCCTTTGTCACCATGTACATCCTCAACCGGATTTTTCCTTTTTTTTTGCCATGGCCGAGCTGGAAAATGCTCTTGCCCGAGTTCAGTTGAACCAAAATCTAAGAATCATCACGAAGCCACATACACAGTCTGGGTTTACGTGCCTGTACAAACGCTCATTACCAGCACATTATAATCCATCTCATTAACCATTCACATTGACGCTTGGTTGGTGTTTTTGTTAGTACTTACTTGGGAGAGTGATGACGTTGTCTTTGTTGGCCACAATGCTTTGTTTGGGGTTTGTTCTTTGTGTGTCTGATACACTTGTTGCCTTGTCACGTTTGTCCCCTTGCAAGTCGGTGTGTTTGTGCTATAAGGATGTGGAGATTGAGGGTATGTACTTGGCGTGATACAGAATGGCCAAGCAGCCAACTGGAGAAGCAGTTGGACTAGCAAGACAAACAAAAGGAATACCCCTCATGGCTCTCGCATTGTTTGTTGTCGGTAGTCGGTACCCGAGTCAGACGCATGGTTGTTGATTTGGCCGGACAGAGGCCTTGAGCTATGCCCGATAGAAGTGTTGAGCCGGAAAGGCGGGCTACTTGTGCCTCAGATGGATGAGTGGCATTGCCCGGAAGAGTCCTAGGACCCAGCCGTGCAGTCGCGTGAGGTCCCAACGCGTTTGGCGCTAACACTGCCAGCCCCGCTCTCCCCAAACATGGCTTCCCCACCAAACCTGCGCAAATCGACGTTATGATGCATCCTGCACGCCAGCCCGTGTCTTGCCTGCGTCGATGCACCCCATCGCCACCCAAGTCTCCCAAATCGCACGTCTCAAGCAATTCCATAGATCCGACATGCGCTCTAGGGCGAGTGGATACGTTGTGGGTTGCTCTTGTTTGCGAGCCATCTATTTTTGCTTTTGCCCCACCTCAGCTGGGAGGGGAGCTAAGCTCCGAGCTCCGAGCACTTGCTGATCTCACAAAGCACGCACACAGTTCAACGCGTGCTATAGTACATTGCATACTCTCTACCTGCCACATGCGGCACCGTACCTTGGCTGCATAGACGAGAGACTTTACCGTTGTTGTTTTGCTTTGTTTTCAGTCTCGACGTCCAATCTTCCTGTCTTTTGCATGTGCAATTCGAGACAAGAGCAATAATGGATATCGACGACCTGCTGGCCGAGGTTGCCGTCGACTCGACGCCACAGGAATCGCGCGACTTACAGGAGCTGACACGATGCTGGGTTGCCGAGAGAGTGGCGCCCGAGATTCTGCCGTGGCCGACAGATCTCATGGCAAGAGTGCTGGAGCGCATCGCGAGACAGGTGAGTTCTGCGTGCGTTGGGGGGGGGGGGGGGCACCTTGGAACCGTTGGGGAGAACTCAACGGTCCTGGGTACAAAGCAATAATGATTGTCTGAGCTTCTTCGTTGGCCGTTAGAATCGCACATACATTCACATTACATCGAGATTGAGAGGGCTAATGACGCAGCCAGATTGAACTTGTCGAAGACCAAACGGGGAATATGGACCCAAAGACGAATTTTACTCTCATCATCATACAGACGGAACTAGAGCGATTCAAGTTTCTCGTCCGGAGTTTTTTGAGGGCGAGAATTAAAAAGGTGGGTTAGCATAATTCTCTACCGCTCACTCCCATTGAGCCATCGCTCGGACATGTAGTAGATGATATCTGTATACTAATCTTAACAATCAACACAGATCGACACCCACCCTCTACACATCTCGGCTCAACACACGTCCTCCCTCGACACCCCAACCCCGCTCCTCTCTCCTGCAGAACACCAATACCTCACATCCCACCAAGCCCTACTCGCCGCCCACTACGCCTCGTCCTTCCTGTCCCAGTTCCCGGCCTCGCTGCAGCGTCTCGATGATACCACGGGCGGAATCAGTATGGTGGACAAGCCGGACGAAGACAAAGCCGTATTTGTTCGTGCGTTGAGGGATGTGGGCGAGATTTTTGTCGAGGGCACGGATCGTAGATTCGAAATGAAGAGGGGGGATGTATGGGTTGTACGGTGGAGTGCGGTTCGACGGTGGTGTGTTGGATGTGGGACAGGGGATGTCGAGTTGATTTAACGAGTTTGGGAAATATTGCCTCTTTTTATTAGCATAGTAGGTTGGGTGGTGCATGTTTGCATGGAGGGAAAGAAGAAGAAGAAGAAGAAACATAACGATAGCCATGGAAGGGTCTGATGCAATTTTTTTGCTTTTTCCCTGTACAAAGCATGCAGTACATAGTTTTGGGCATATTCACGGCGTACATGAAAAGAAATGATATAAAAGAAACTATGAAGAAGAAGAAGAGGAAGAAGAAGAAGCGGAAGAAGAAGAAGAAGAAGGAATGTGGTCAAGGTAATGTACATTGACGAAAATGATTTACGAGAACATGTATGCTTTATGACTTCTTTACAACCACACCTTTTCTATCAATGTATCAAAGAGACACTACACAGAATACATGTATGTACATACAATTCCAACCACAAAAACTCACGCTATGCATTTCATTTACTTTAAGAAATCCTCAGACTAACCCTCACCACAAGTCTTCCATATTCTACTCTAAAATAAACATGGCAAGACCAAACCAAACCTTCCCCTTGGAATCATACAACAGTACTATACCCCGCCCCGTACCCCCTCCTCCCTTTCCACCGTAAATACCACTTCCTCCCCTCATCAGCCCAAAAGACGCAACTCGCCACCGCCACCAAATGGGCGAGGTCGGCCAGATCCAGCGCCTCGGTCTGAAACACGCTTTGCAGCGGTGGGAAATAGATAACAGCCAACTGGCCAAGCAAACTGCCCGCGACAGCGTAGTTGAACATTTTATTCTCAAAGACACCGATTTCGCCTGCGAGAACGGATTTGCTGGAGGAGCGGCAGGTCAGGGCGTTGAACATGTCGAAGAGGACGAAGCAGGTAAAGGTCATGGTTGTGTCGCGCGCAGTGACTATGTTGTCGTCGGACATTTCGAGGTAGTAGGTTGTTAGTGTGCCGAGCATGATGATGGAGGCGGATTGGAGGACGCGTTGGATCAAGGGGCGGGTTAGCACGCGGGCTTGACGCGGACGAGGAGGCAGGGCCATGACGGCTGGGTCGACGGGCTCGACGCCGAGGGATTGGGCGGGTGGGCCGTCCATGAGGATGTCTGAGGGGGGGTTTTGGTTAGCTTTGGTTATCTCGGATACAAGGTGGATGAGAACTCACTGATCCACAGAATCTGCATGGCGTTGAGCGGATTCTGGAAACCGAGAAAGGTACTCAGGAGGACCAGACTGAGCGCTGCTGCACTGGTGCTAAGTTGAAAGGTAAGGAAGTTTTGGATGTTGTAGAAGATGCCCTTTCCTTCTTCGATGGCGTTGAGGATTGTGGCAAAGTTGTCGTCGGTTAGGATCATGTCTGCGGCTTCTTTGGCAACGTCTGTACCCAGTCTACCCATGGAGATGCCGATGTCTGCCTTCTTAAGTGCTGGTGCGTCGTTAACTCCGTCACCGGTCATTGCAACTACATCGCCTCGCGATTGGAGCGCTCGAACAATCTTCATCTTGTGGTCTGGACTCGTGCGTGCAAAGATTGATGTCGTTGCCATGGCCTGGGCGAGTTCTTCCTCGCTCATCTGGTCTACCTCGTCTCCACGGATGACGGAGCGTCCAAGTGCAGAGTTTTCGGTAATCGGCATCCCCAGGCTCTTTCCAATGGCAACTGCTGTAGTCTCTGCGTCGCCGGTAATCATAATCACCTTGACCTTGCCAGCCATTAGACGCCGGATGGCTCTTTCGACACCCTTGCGTGGAGGATCGTTCATGCCTACAAGTCCCGCAAACGTGAGACCACGATAGTGCTCATCATCACCAAGAGCTGATTGTGCGACTGGCGCTGGAGAGGCGGTGCCACTGGTATTCCTCTTCTTTGCCTTGGACACACCACTTGCGAAGCCGAGTACTCGCAGACCCTCTTGTGCCATGGATTCCGCAGCCTTGATCGCCTCCTGCTTGTGTGCTTGATCCAATGCTACCTCTTTCCCCTGTGCAGTGACATATGTATCGCAGCGATCGAGAACCCTTTCCAATGCACCCTTGATGTAGCTGTGTTCAGAACCGGGAGTGTGGCTACCAGAAGTGCTACCAACGACAACACCCATCCATTTTCGCTCTGAGCTGAATGGAGTCTCGAACTTGCGTTCACCAAGCCTTTCCCGCACGTCGTCTTCACCGAAAGCATCAATCAGGTCAAGAAGGGCAACGTCGGTAGGCTGCCCAACCCATCTACTTTTTGCAGAGGCACTATCATCGCCCAGAGTTGATGAAAGAACTGCTGCTGTGGAAGCTGACGCAGCGTGATCGCTTAATAGACGGGCGTTGTTCACTATATTTCCGATTCGCAGGATGTTACGAGTGGGAGAGTCGAGATCCGTAGATTCATGCTTGAGCTTCACATCCGTGGGAGTAGCCTCGCCAAAATGCCATATTTTGGTGACAGTCATATGGTTAGTTGTCAGTGTGCCTTCATGAGGTTAGTGTGTACGAGATTACAGTCAATATGCACGACTTACCCGTCTTATCTGTACAGACGACATTAACTGAGGCCAGC